ACATAAAAAGTAAGCTAAGGTGTTGTTCTTAATATGAAACAAAGTGGAATTCAGGCCCAAAGGCTTCCTTAAGATGAAGAAGAATACAAAGTTAAGATGTGTATTTGACAGTGAACATTTAACATTATGAATATCTGTCAACCAAGTAACTATGTATTAAATACAAAGTAACTTTCAAAAAGCAACTTTCAGGAGGTACCAGGAAAAATAGGCATAAATGCATTAGGAGTAAGTGACTTTTAATTCAGTATTTTTGGTTCAGGGCAGATTAAATGGAGAAACAATAAGACTGTAGATGACCTAAACAATTTAGTCAATGGGGTAGATTTAATATATATGGAACTTGACCCTGAAAACAGTGTACCCCTTCTTTTTAGATCTCATTTGCAAAAACTTCTCTATAGTTCCCAAAGAAAACTTCAATACATTTTAGAAAGGAGAAATAGCATTAAAATCACAGTGCACTTGCATACTAAGTTCAAACAACTCTTGGATTAATGGAGAATACAAATGAAAATTATACAGTATACTGATGACCATAGTGATGAGAACACTAGAAATATATGGAGTCTGGCTAAAATAATTCTCAGAAGAAGTGCAAAGCTTTAAATACTTACATCAATAAAGAATAAATAATAAAAATGAGTGGGTTAAACGATTAACTCAGAAAGTTAGAAAAAGATCTAAGTAAATGAGAAGAAGGTAGAAGGAAGGAATTAATAAAAATAAGAGAGAGGCGCCTCGGTGGCTCAGTCATTAAGCATCTGCCTTCCGCTCAGGTCATGATCCCAGGGTCTTGGGATGGAGTCCACATTGGGATCCCTGCTCGTCAGGAAGCCTGCTTTTCCCTCTCCCACTTCCCCTGCACGTGTTCCCTCTTTTGCTGTCTCTGTCTGTCAAGTAAATAAAATAAAGTCTTTAAAAAAAGAAAGAAGGAAAGGAAGGGAGGAATTAGAAAACAAAGCAGAATTAATTGGCTGAAAATAGACAAATCGCTAGTTAAATTAATCAATTATTTAAGAGGAGAGTGGGGGAACAAAACACAAATATATGTAATAAATAAAGACTAATAATCATAAATAGCAAAAATTTAAAGAATTGTGAGTGTCGTTCAAGTCTAAAAAATGAGAAACTCTGTAAAAAAAATTGGAGGAATGTCATAGGAAAATATAATTTATGAAAAATGACCTTGATAAAAAAAATTCAAATCAATTTCTATACAAGAAATAGAGTAAATTAGCAGAGGAGAAACTCCTCTACAAAAATCATCTGGCCCGGATGTTTCATGAGAGAATTCTGCTAAATCTTTGAAGAACCAATCATTTCAGTGCTGCTGTTGAAACTGTTGCAGAGCATAGAAGAAGATGGAAAACTACATTTTGTGGGCACCTGGGTGGCTTAGATGGTTAAGCATCCGTCTTCGGCTAAGGTCATGATCTCAGGGTCCTGGGATCAAGCCCCTGGGATCAAGGCTCCCCCCTTAGTAGGGAGTCTTCTTCTTCCTCTGCCTCTCACTTGGCTCGTGCTCTCTCGAATAAATAAAATCTTAAAAGAAAACTATATTTTTAATGAAGTGAGTATAATAATTGATATCAAAACTTGACGAAGATTCCATAAAAGAAGAAAAGTATAGATGCAATCTTCCTTACAACTCCAGAAGCAAAACTCTGTTAAACAAATGGAATCTAGCAGCACGTTACTAGAATAATACATCATGAGAAGTTTATTCAGGGTAGAAAAAGATAGTCCATATTAGGAAATCTATTAGTATAATCTGTTTTATTGATAGACCTACGAAGAAGAATCCGCGGTCATTCTGATTACCTCATGATAAACATTTGACAAAATTCAATACCCAGTCTTTTAAATAGCATTCAATAAAACAGTAATCGATGACTAATTTCCTTACATTATATACATTTATATTTGTGCATATGTGTGTGTATTTCAAAACCTGAAGTCTTGGCCCATGGTGATACAGTAGGCTTTCCCACTAAAGGAAAGAACAAGATAAGAAATCTCACTGTTATCACTAGCGCTTAATATGGTAGTACAAATGCTATTAACTTTTGTACAACAATACCAGAAAGACAGTCTATGTAATCGTTGTGGGTTGGGGGTGAGCCACATTTATGAACTAAAAGATAAAATACTTAAGAATAAACAAACCCACTGTGTCAAAAAATTTAAAGTAATACTGAAAGATAAGGCTTAAAAGACAATATGTTCTCATTGGAAAGATTCAACATTGTGTCAGTTTCTCTGTAAATTAACATAGTAACTTGATGCAGATTTGATAAAAATATTAACATTCTCTTTTTTTGGGAATTAGACAAAAACTGTTCAAAGTTTATGTAATAAACAGTGATAGCAAGGGGAATAGTGTAGGAGAGAAGCAATGGATAAGGGTTATGGGAATCATGTTCCTATAAAGCCTAAGTGTTTAAAACAGGAGAGTGCTCGGGGTGCCTGGCTGGCTCAGTCAGGAGAGCGTCTGATCTCATGTTGTGCTCGCTTTGGCAGCACATATTCTAAAATTGGAATGATCATGGGGTCGTGAGTTCAAGCCCCACATTTGGTTTAGCGATTGCTTAAATAAATAAACCTGAAAAAAAAACTGGAATGTCTAGCATGTAAATAAATAAGTGGATCTACATTCCCGGATATATTTAGGTGTATTTCTGGAATGGAAATCCAGAAATACACCTAAATATATCCGGGAATGTAGATCCTAACCTACATCCTAATACGTATAGGAATATAAACATAAATAGTAAATCCAGAAATAAACCTAAATGTAGGAACTTAGTACTTGGTAAAAGTGGTATCTTAAAATTGTAGGAAAAAGACTTTCAATAAATGCTTTCATTGTAAAAAAACAACAAAATAACAACTGAACATATATTGTATAGCAGTATGTATTCCAGGTCCTGAGTCAAAACACAAATGAAAAAAGCCACAAATGAATTTACTTAGAAGAAAAATATGGGTGAATTTTTTCATAATGTTGGCATGCAGGCAGCCTTTCTCCCTAGTCAAAATTCAGGAACCACTTTTTAGAAAGTGATGAATTTGACTATTAAAGGATGGCACATCTATACAATGGAATATTTTTCAGTGCTAAAAAGAAATGAACTATCAAGTCACAAAAAGACAGGAATTTTAAATACCTGTTGCTAAGTGAAGGAAGCCAATCTGAAAAGGCTGTGTACTATATAGTTATAACTAATATTGTGGAAAAGGCAAAACTCGGGAGAGAGTAGAGAGATCAGTGGTTGCCAGGAGGGAGGACGAGGAACAGAGGAGAGGGATAAAGAGGTGGAACACGTGTTCCCTCTTTTGCTTCTGAATGATACTCTGAGTCTGGATGGATGGATTCGGGTGGGTGAATATGTGTCATTATTCGTTTGTCAAAACCCATAGAAAACCCAAAGAACCCTGAAGTAAACCATGGACTTTGCTTGATAATGATGTGTCGGTTGGGGTTGGATTCCAGCAAATGCACTGTGGTGCAGGGTGCTTTATGGTAGGAGGGGCCGGGGTAGGGATGGGGGGGTGCTCTGTAGTTTTCACCCAGTTCTTCTGTGAACCTGAAACTGCTCTGATAAATAAAATCTGTTTTTAAAAAATAGCAATCTTGTGAAACATAAAAAGAAAAAACCCATAACCAAAGTAAAATAAAGTCTGACAACCCAATAAAAAAATAGGCAAGTAAAACAGACAAGAATAGACAGAAAAGGACAAGAGAAGGAATGACCTATAACCACATAAAAAAAGATACTCAACATTATGGCATGAGAAATTCAAATGTTAAGTACTCAGAGTAACCATTTTTCACCTATCATTGGTAAAAATCTAAAAGTGTTACTCTGATAAGGCTGGAGGGGAATGTGAAAAGGTACAGTTATCATGGAGAGCAACTTGGCAATAACCGTTAGAATTAAAATTGAATTTATCTTTAACCCAGCAGTTTTACTTCTGGAAATTTATAGCTATCCAGGCCCACGAATGAAATAACATGTACATATAGGTATTTATTTCAGCATTCTTTGTAAAAATAGCAAAAGATTAAAAACAACTCACACAGGGGTGCCTGGGTGGCTCAGTCGGTTAAGCAACTGCCTTGGGCTCAGGTTATGATCCTGGAGCTCCAGGATCAAGTCCTGCATCGGGCTTCCTGCTCACTGGGGAGTCTGCTTCTCCCTCTGACCTCTCCCCTCTCATTCTCTCTCTCCCTCTCTCAAATAAATAAGTAAAATCTTAAAAAAAAAAACAACAAAAAACCTCACATGTTCACCAGTAGTGAACTAAGTAAGTAAATGATGGTACCTCTTACAATGGAATACTGTGCCATGTCAATGTATTTATGTACAATAACAAAGTTGTTTTTTTTTTTTTTAAGGTACAGCACAGTACTTGCTGAATTTTTAGGCCAAAGTAACTTTAAAGAGAATGTATAAACTAGTGGTGTGTTCAGTTGTAGCTTGGAATGACGAGCTTCTTAAAATTTCTGCTAAATTTATCTTTAAAATCTGTAGGCTTACTATATTCTTCCCTGTAATTAGCCTTTAAAATTAATTTTTTAACTGCTCTTCATCACTTGGTAATTCTGACCCAGGAAGATGTACCTTGTTCATTGCATGCTTTCTTGTACTCTGACACGCTGTCACCTGTCCTTACCTGAAAAGTGTGTTGCATGGGAAGATCAGTCCCTCAGGTACTACCCTGTATTGTTTCTGGTTTTTTCCAGACTGATTCTTCAGTTGAAGGACTACAAGTTGTAAACAATTAAAAAAGCCCTATAGTTGTCTCAAAATAATTTAACAAGTTTTTCTTCTTTCTAATACTGAGTGTTCCCAGCAAATGATACCTAAACCAGTTTGATTTATTGGCATTTGGACTAATGAAGTAGTGGTTGGTTCAGTGTATTTCTGTGTTAAAAAATGTTTATGTTCTGTGTTACATGTTCAGTATATTTATGTGTAAAATACTCTCTTTAGGAGGATGAAGTTAAAGGAAGTAGACCGTACGGCCATGCAGGCCTGGAGCCCTGCCCAGAATCATCCCATTTACCTAGCTACAGGTAAGTTCAACAGAGAGGAAAGAGTATAAATCACGTAATTTCTTCTTTTGCACATTTGGCTTACTCATACCTGTCCTTTAAAACTTACTTCAGGGGTGCCTGGGTGGCTCAGTGGGTTAAACCTCTGCCTTCGGCTCAGGTCATGGTCCCAGGGTCCTGGGATCGAGCCCCACGTCAGGCTCTCTGCTCAGTGGGGAGCCTGCTTCCCCCTCTCTCTGCCTGCCTCTCTGCCTGCTTGTGATCTCTGTCTGTCAAATAAATAAATAAAATCTTAAAAAAAAAACCCCCAAAACTTATTTCGAGCTCCTCTCTTCTAGAAAGCTTCTCCTTCCCTAATGAAATAACTCCATCCTCCCTTTCAGCTGAGTTTAATGACCTTTCTCTGTGTTATTAGCATCTTGTTCATCATAGCGTTAGTCATGATATTGGCGCCGGGGGCTCGGTCGGTTACGTGCCTGCCTTTGGCTCAGGTCATGATCCCACGGTCCTGGGATTGAGCCCCACATGGGGTTCCCTGCTCAGCAGGGAGTCTCCTTCTGTCTCACTCTCTCTCTCTCTCTGCCCCTCCACCCCACTTACACTCTCTCTCTAAAATAAATAAATAAAATCCTTAAAAAAATCATACTACATTTACAGTGTCTTCCTCACTTCATAAAAATTAACCTTTCATTTTCATTCCTCCAGTATTAAGCACATGAGATAACATGTTAAAAAAAAAAGTTAATATCAGTTTGGATGAAGAACAATTTTGATGCTAGCATTTTTATATAAAAATAGAGTTACATCATTTATGACTATCAGCAGATAGAGTAAATCAAGAGACTATTTTTACAGAGAGTTTTTAAGTTATCTCTAGGTTTAAAGAGTTACCCGCACTATCCATTCTTACAAACATCGTCTCCAAGCCTTGTGTCAGAATTCATTGCTACAGGAATTTGAGCAATGTTCAATGGCATGCACCCTGAGATGTTAGTCACTAAGACCGCACTCATGAGTGAGATCATTGGAAAACGTGCATTTACGTTCTGTTTTGTATGGTTTTCTCTGAGTCTTTTATTTTTGCACTGTAGTTACCATAAATGTATTTTCCATAGGAACATCTGCTCAGCAGTTGGATGCAACGTTTAGTACCAGTGCTTCCCTCGAGATATTTGAATTAGACCTTTCTGACCCGTCCTTGGATATGAAGTCTTGTGCCACCTTCTCTTCTTCTCACAGGTATGAGACTGATGAATTTTAAATTCACATTATTTATCGTTGGGGTTATTATGTTGTGGTTGATGCCTACTTTGTCTATAAATACGTTGTTATTAGAAACTACAAGAATACCATCAATGACATGAAATATTTTGTGAAAAAGTATATGAGTGAGTTTCTGTGGAAGCAAAGGAAGGGTGTGTGTGTTCTGTTGACTTTTTTATTGACAACTGACGCGTAGGATGGGAAGGAGAGGCTCAATTTTCTAGTCGCTTTTTCCTCATGATACAGTAGGCATACTGTCTCTTATCTCCTTTTTCTCAGCTGTTTACCAAAAAAAGGGTAGGTATGGCTTAAAAAAGGGGTAGGTGGATGAATATGAGGGTGTTAAAAGTGATTATCTCTGAATGGTAGGTTATTTTTTCGTTGTACTTTCTGTATTTAGAAATACATATCACAGAGATTTTTGTTGACATGATTTCTGATACAGTAGGTATCTGGGTCATCTTCCCAAGTACTTAACATCCTATCATAATGCAGGAAAAGGACACTTTCATTTGAGTAGTAAAATATGCTTTATTGTCTCAGTAGTTTGGCCAGTTTTGGTGAAGAGATTGTACTCTGGCACATGGCGTCTCATGGGACCTCATATTTTTCAGAGCTCTCCTACTATGATGGGAACTCCAAATACCTTTTGTCTGTCAGTTTTCCCACTCACCACCACTCATGTCATTGTATACCTCCATGCCACCTTCATCTTTCATCTCCTAGCCAAACCATGATCTTTATTCTCCATCAGTGGGGATACTTGTCATAATAGATATCATTTTGATGTCACTTTTCCACCATTGGAATACATTACTTTTCTTAGAAAATTTTATATACCTCCTTTGGCACTTCTCCTACTTAACAGACTACTTGTCAGTGAGTACTTCTGTACTCAAATAATGTCAAAGGAAATGATTGATTAGAGCTCTGTTTTACAGATGAACTAAAAGCAGCTTAGGAAGATTCAGTAACTTGCCTAGGGTCTCACAGTTTCTAAATGGTAAAACCATTCTTAATCCCCTATCTTTTGACACACAAATCAAGTATACTTTCTGACACTATGTTACCTCTACCAGAAAGTTTTTACTCTCCAGGATTATAAAATCAAATATGCACATATGAATATAAATAAAAGCTAAAATGCCATTTCACCAAGTTGTGCACGGTTACCAGGAATAGAGGAGCAGCAGTGTTTTAGATTATTTATGAAAACACATGGAATGAAATACATAATTGTGAATGCTTTCTCTTGTCCATTTGACTTACATCAGTTATTTACTCATTTTCTCTTAAAGGTACCACAAGTTGATTTGGGGCCCTCATAAGATGGATTCCAAAGGGAATGTCTCTGGAGTTCTGATTGCAGGTGGTGAAAATGGAAATATTATTCTTTACGATCCTTCTAAAATTATAGCTGGAGACAAAGAAGTTGTGATTGCCCAAAATGACAAGCATACCGGCCCAGTAAGAGCCTTGGATGTGAATATTTTCCAGGTTAGACTTCTGATGTTTATTCATAACTCTTGAGACATGCACTGCTTATTTGAAATAGGCATACGAATCTGCTGTGCCTTAGTCTTGGAACTGAAAGCTAAAAATGTGTGCCCGTGCAGGCTGAGTGAGTGTATTTTCTTGAATAATGGAGGTTTCAGAGTTGGGATCAAGGTAAATGATGATAACTCCATGGAGGGGATCAGGCAGCACAGAATCAGTCAGTCTACTTTTGCCATCATAAGCATAACTCAATGTTAATTATATAAATATAGGTTTCAAATATCTTGAGTTAATAGAACATTAGAGCTTAACAACCGAAACATGAATATTATCTTAAGAAAGTTTAAAATAGTTATTTTTCTTATATTATAAATAAATACTTAGGGTATAGAAATACAACCTGAGCTTCATTTCCGTAGTTTATGGTGCCGGCTCTTTAGATGAGATAGTTTGGTGCTTTGTGAATGAGTTTAAACAGCAGCTGCTTGCTGGGTGGTGTCTTAGGTTATAGGCGGCTACAACCGTAGAATTCCTCTGTTTTCATAGTCATGTGTCAGTTGATGAAAGAACTTATGAGAGTGAATAATAAAAGATGAAAGCCAGTATATGAAACCCATTATCTTCCTGTACTTCGTGTCACAGGGTTACAGTCTTTTTGACCCTAAGGGTATGCAACAGAGGTAACCTAGAAGTACTGCCACCCAGAACAAGATTGAGTGGAAATGCACCAGAAAGACGTGAGGATTTAAGACGAGACTTTACTAGCCCGTATGGGTCTGACAGCAGAAGCTGGCTTTGAGGTGTCCGGAGATAGATACCATTATTTAGGATTCAGTTATTTGTCTGAAAACAGTAATTGATTTTGCCTGTTTTTTGTCTCTCTCTCACAATCAGGTCCCCTTCCTGCACAAATGATACTCCCCACATGGTTGCATGATTGTTTAACAATTCAGCCGTATAATTATTTTTTAATCTCTTGTATTTTAATATCAGTCGACACACTGTCTTCTTGGTGAAGTAGAATCTTACAATGTGCTTCTTTGAAAACCCATCGCAGTTTCAGATTATTGTCCATTGCATTTAGGAATTCATGAGTTTTGGTTCTTTAATTAAGTAGAAAAGTTGTATACCCTAAAACTGATAGAGCGTTCTATCTCTGAAGTTACTCAGAGTTCTCTTAATTATTCTTAAATGTTGTTTCATTATTAATTATTTCTTATTGCAGACTAATCTGGTAGCCTCTGGTGCTAATGAATCTGAAATCTACATTTGGGATCTCAACAACTTTGCAACACCAATGACACCAGGAGCCAAAACACAGGTATTGCATGATTCTGATGTAATCAAAAGAACCAGTTGATTCTTTAACACTTTATTTATTTCATTTTTTTTCACACAAAATATATTTGTTTAAAATCAGTGTTTAGATGTCACTGATTTTCCTTCAGTATAGCAAAGTGTTGGGAAACATGTTCTTCAAAGTGTCAGTGAGTCCTTCAACAGCAAGTATTTATTCAGTGCTAACCACCCAACACTGCTTTGATGTATTCGACATGCAGTGATGAATAAAAGAGACAAGTCTTGGATTACTTTTTAAATACAGGAATTTATATAGTATAGTATTTTATGTTGTATAGTATTTTGACAATATCTAATCTTGGAATAAAAATCATAGACTAGAAAGGAAACTTATTTTTTAAGAAGAAAACAGCTCAACCCCTTTCCTGTGCATTTCTGTAAGTTAAGAAAGAACAGTCTTCGGCTTGCCTCTGTGAAGTTTATGGTCTATACACTACTCAGATTGAGGAGCCATTAAAATGGATTCCAACATTCCGGTTGTCTTGGAGGTGGTATAATGATAGCATGTGATCTACCATTTATTTTTATTTTTATTTTTTAAAGATTTTATTTATCTATTTATTTATTTATTTGAGAGAGAGAAAGAGAGGGAACACATGGGGGTGATAGGCAGAGGGCAAGGGAGAGAGAGAATCCCAAGCAGACTCAGGACCTGAGCTGAAATCAAGAGTCAGACACCTAACCCATTGAGCTACCCAGGCACCCCTAGGCTATAACTTTTGCTCTGCTTAGTTGTCCATCATACTGATCAATGTCTACTTTGTAGTTCATTATCTACCTTGTGGGAGTTGCAAATTAAGAAAAAGTGCTTGATTTATAGCAGGAGCTTAATAAACGGATGGTGAATGAGGCAATATTAAATGAGGTAAAATACTTGAATTGGCATGTATACTGAGCTTTAAATTGTATTACATTTATTGAGAACTTATGAATGTAAAAAATTTGTGGAATAAATAGGTCAGATTTTAATTAATTCGTTTTTTAAAAAGAAGGATCAGATTTTGTACTTAATTGGATCATAAGTGAGAAATGGTTTTTAGTAGTTTCTTCCTTTTTAGCCCCCAGAAGATACCAGCTGCCTTGCGTGGAACAGACAAGTTCAGCATATTTTAGCATCAGCCAGTCCCAGTGGCCGGGCCACTGTGTGGGATCTTAGGAAAAATGAACCTATCATCAAAGTCAGTGACCATAGTAACAGGGTGAGTACGTGATTGACTTGTCATATACAGAGCCACGTTGTGTTCCTGCTGCAGCTATTTCTATATTGTCAGCGTTGACAGCACATCAGACTTTGTGATGTCAGTTGCTGTCTATTCATGGACCAATCATGTTGGATCGAGGTTTTTCCTTGGGGAAGATAATAAAATTTCTGATAAACCATGTTGGATACTGTTAATGATGAAGAGTGAGATAGTTAATTAAATACCTTATTCCATGGTATACTGGTTGTTCTTACTTGACTAGCTTTTTCTTTTTCTTTCTTTCTTTTTTTTTTTTTAAGATTTTATTTATTTATTTGACAGAGATCACAAGTAGGCAGAGAGGCAGGCAGAGAGAGAGGGGGAAGCAGGCTCCCTGCCGAGCAGAGAGCCCGATGTGGGGCTTGATCCTAGGACCCTGGGATCATGACCTGAGCCGAAGGCAGAGGCTTTAACCCGCTGAGCCACCCAGGTGCCCCTTGACTAGCTGTTTCAAAGCATTATAGCAACTTTTTATCTTTAGCTTTCTCTAGAATATATGAATTTTTCTAGCTAGTAATTATATGACTGTGAACTTGTGGTTTCCAGACTCCTGGCTTCACCTTTTCTGATTAGGCGCTACTTAAGTGAGCTAATATCTCCCATTTGCCCGGTAGATGTAGCTGTACAACACATTAAATTTTTGACCTTACAGATTACTTAATACTATGTCATAATGTGCTATTAAATAATTTAGACATAGTTAAATGGCTTTATCTTGTTAGTTTGTTTTTCATTACATTGTTTAGTTCGACATTTTAAAAACAAGTTTGCCTAAATCAGAGAATACATACATAACCTAACAATAACCAAGGTGGGGGGGGACAATAACCACAGAAAACTGTTTCGAAAAATATTTCTTCAGGATACTGTTTTTCAATGAATTAGGAATTTTATTATTTCTTTTTTAATATTTTATTTATTTGACAGAGAGAGAGAGAGAGAGAGATCACAAGCAGGCAGAGAGAGAGGGGAGGAAGCAGTCTCCCTGCTGAGCAGAGAGCCCGATGCGGGGCTCGATCCCAGGACCCTGGGATCATGACCCGAGCCGAAGGCAGAGGCTTTAACCCACTGAGCCACCCAGGCGCCCCTGAATTAGGAATTTTAAAACAAATTTTAATTGAATAAACTATACAATAAGCATTTCCATTATCTTTTGGAACATTTAGTAGGATCTGAATGTCCAGGTAATTCTTAGTAATACTGTTAATTTATTCCATGTAAAAATTTAAATGGTAGCTGTTGCGTTAGATATTCTGTCTTGATTTTTTTGACAAAATAGAGGAAAGGTATGAAATTTTTTTTGTTATAATCTTTTTTTTAAAAAAACTTATTTATTTATTTGAGAGAGATACAGCACGCTCCATGGGGGAGGGGCAGAGGAGGAGAGACCGGAGAAAAGCAGACACTCCACTGAGTCTGGAGTCCCATGTAGGGTCAGTCCTGGTACCCTGAGATCATGACCTGAGCTGAAACCAAGAGTCAGACTTCTAACTGACTGAGCCACCCATGCACTGTTACTATAATCTTACCTGTTTTCATTTTTCTCAAAAGTATTAAATTGTACTTAAATTTATATAAAACTTTCCCCCCAGTTACAGTATTAACCATTAAACTCATTTTTGGTATAGAATTATTCTGGTCCAGAATGGTGCTGTGTATCGAATAACTGGATGAACTGAAAACATTAAATTTTTTTTACTTTTGGGGCGCCTGGGTGGCTCAGTGGGTTAAAGCCTCTGCCTTTGCCTCAGGTCATGATCCCAGGGTCCTGGGATAGAGCCCCACATCGGGCTCCACATCCGCGGGAAGCCTGCTTCCCCATCTCCCTCTGCCTGCCTCTCTGCCTGCTTGTGATCTCTCTCTCTGTCAAATAAATAAATAAAATCCTTAAATTTTTTTTTTTTTTTTTTTTTACTTTTAAGAGTACTGTTTAAGGCAGTTGAATAAAATTTCATAGTTTTAAAGAGATAGCATAGCTTGAAGGTTGCAAATGCGGGCTCTGGAGGTAGCTGTCCAGATTCAAAATTTAATAGTTTTAGGTTTTGTTTTTTCTTGTTGTTTTTTAAAAAACTAAGCCTGACCTGGTGTTTTCTACTATTTGTTTCAACAAAGGCATGTTCCTCAAGCTCATTTTGGCTCTTCATAAAGTAATAGGATTGATACATTGTGAGCCTTCACTCTCCACAGATGCATTGCTCTGGGTTGGCGTGGCATCCAGATGTTGCGACTCAGATGGTCCTTGCCTCTGAGGATGATAGATTACCGGTGGTCCAGATGTGGGATCTTCGCTTTGCTTCCTCTCCACTCCGTGTCTTGGAAAACCATGCGAGGTATCATGCTGTTCTTCTAAGGAACTTGATTCTTTTATTTTTAAAAATACATTTACTTATTATTTTTGAATTATCAGATAATTGTTTTTAAATTAAGGAATCTATTTTGTCTCTGTCTTGTAAAATTCAGTATAAATTATATGTATTTGAAGCAATAGTCATCAGATTTTCTGTTCTCAAAAATGGTAGCCAATTCATATCATAGTCATAAAAAATGTGATAAAGGGTTTTCCACTCCTTTTTTCAGTTATAATGAATAGATTAAAATCCCAGTATACCACAACATTTTAGGACAACTCTCTTGACATTATCCAGTTTGATCTTTATTAGCATCATAATACTGATAGTCTTCCATAACATTGAAGGACACGCAACAGTTTGAAAGTTTGTTTTATTTCTAAGCTTCTATTTTAATTTAAAAGTATTTTTGAGAAATTTGGGTTATTCTGCTGTTAATTTAATTTTATTTATTTTCTATTTTTTATCATTTTTTTAAAGATTTATTTATTTATTTTTAAGAAAGAACGAGAGCCTGAGAGCAAGAGTGGGAGGGGCAGAGGGAGAGAGAACCTCAAGGAGAGAGCAGAGAGCCCAGCTTGGGGCTTGATCTCACAATCCTGAGATCACAGCCTGAGCTGAAATCAAAAGTCGAACCCTTAACCAACTGTGCCATGCTGGTGCCCCTGCTTTTAATTATAATAAATGTGCGGATTCTCTAAAAAGATATGAGTGGGGTGCCTGGTTGGCTCAGTTGATAGAGCGTGCAACTCTGGTCTCTGGGGTTATGAGTTCAAGCCCCACGTTGGATGTAGAAATTACTTTTTTTTTTTTTAATGGTTAAAAAAATTAAAATTAAAAAAATTAAAAGATTTGCAAATTTTCTCATGTTAGGTTTGGTAACATTAAATTTAATTGTAAATTAGCATGCTTCCTAACATTGATATTCAGGTACCCAGGGAATTTATATGTATTTGTTTAACAGTTTTAAACAAGAAACAAATCCCTTTTAATGTTATAATATTTTCTGAGTACTTTTGGACTTTCTTTCTTGTTTAAGGATATATAGACTAAAGCTTTAAATCCTATTTTCCCACTGGGTAGTGGATTTGCACACTAAGAGGCCTTAAAGTTTTTGACCTCTCCTTAGCTTTATGTAAAGGAGAAAAGAGTCCAGTAAAATGCAGTTCTGTTTAGATGTTATTGCTTCAGTCAGCGTTTTAGTGAAGAAGGGATGATTGGGATAAGTTTTAATATTTTTCCCATGTTAGATAAGGTTTTGTTCATTCATTCAACATGTACTTCTTGAACATGTGCTCTGAGCCAAGCACTGTACTACGATTCAGTGATATAACAGATAAAAATCCCTACCCTCGGAAGGTTTACGTAATAGTGGGAGGACATTGACATTTGTATAATATATGAAGTGTACAAGCACTGTAAATATTAAGTCAGTTAATCCTCATAACAAGTCGATGGTACAGATGCCATTAGCCCATTTTACGAATTGGAAATTGAAGCTCAGTAAGGTAAACTTGGCCTAGATCACATAACCAGTCAAAGTGCTGACTTCTGATGCAAACATTCTGATCCTGGAATCTGTGCTCCTTTTTTTTTTTTTTTTTTTTAGATTTTATTTATTTATTTGACAGAGAGAGACACATCGAGAGAGGGAACACAAGCAGGGAAAGTGGAAGAGGGAGAAGGAGACTCCCTGCTGAGCAGGGAGCCCGATGTGGGGCTTGATCCCAGGACCCTGGGATCATGACCTGAGCCGAAGGCAGACGCTTAACACCTGAACCACCCAGGCGCCCCTAGAATCTGTGCTCTTGACACTATATCTGCTGCCAGTTTTAGGTGTGATCATAATTGAGCAAGACAGAAGACCACACGGAGCTGCAGGAGCAGATCAACTCTGATTTCTCAGTTTTCTCCTTCTAATAATACATGCAGGAGGTGGCTTAGATGAGATTTAAGGTCCTTTTCTGCTCTATAATTCTGTGATTTTTTTTTTCTTTAATACTTGTAAGAACATAATGTTATTTTTTTTTTTTTAAAGAATTTATTTTATTTATTTGACAGACAGAGATCACAAGTAGGCAGAGAGGCAGGGGGGTTTGGGGGGGCGGGGAGCAGGCTCCCTGCTGAGCAGAGAGCCCGATGTGGGGCTCGATCCCAGGACCCTGAGATCATGACCTGAGCCGAAGGCAGAGGCTTATCCACTGAGCCACCCAGGCGCCCCCATAAATGTTCTTTAAAATGTGATATTAAATATGTATGAATTTCTTTAAAAGGCATTCTTGACACGCTTGAAATTCTTGACATGCATGATTGGATTCTAAAGGGGGAACAGTTAGAAAGTATATTATTGATGCAGTTGAAAATCTGGATATGGACTATATATTTTAAAATACTGCATATAAATAAGAAATATTTTCAGTATGTAATTGTATTATGGTTATGCAGAAGAATGATTTTATCCTCAGAGGTAAGTGTGGGGGTGACGTGTCATAGTATCTGTAATTAACTCTCAAATGGTCAGTGTATGTATGGAGAGAGAGAGAAAGCCAATGTGGCCAAACCAGTGAGTCAAAGTGAGGAGTATAAGGCCGTACATCGTACTGTCCTTATAATTTTCAGAAAGATTTTAATTTTTTAAAAATAAAAGATTAGAGGGGCGCCTGGGTGGCTCAGTTGTTGAACATCTGCCTTCGGCTCAGGCATGATCCCAGGCTGCCTGCTCTACCTTTCCCTCTCCCTCTCCTACTCCCCTGCTTGTGTTCCCTCTCTCACTGTCTCTCTCTCTCTCTGTCAAATAAACAAAATCTTTAAAAAAATAAAATAAAATAAAATATTAGAAACAAAAGGCAGTCTTAAACAATTTGGGTTCTCATCCTATGCGGTGTTTTCCTGATTCTGAGAAGATACTGAATATCTTCTTGGTGATCAAAGAGTGTACACATTCCTAAGTTGCTTTCCATAAAGATTATATGAAATTATACTTCTGTTAGCAGCATGCGTCTCCAGAACCTAGACAGGAGTCATTTGGAGACTTGGTTTTCTGAAGATTAAAAATCTCTTCACCTTGTGTTTTTTATAGGGGGATTTTGGCAATTGCTTGGAGCATGGCAGATCCGGAATTGCTGCTGAGCTGCGGAAAAGATGCTAAGATTCTCTGCTCCAACCCTAACACAGGAGAGGTGTGAGGAGGAACCATTTCTCAGACTATAGCTACTACAATACATCTTTTTAAGATTTTATTTATTTATTTGACCGAGAGAGACAGTGAGAGAGGGAGCACAAGCAGGGTGAGTGGGAATGGGATAAGCAGGCTTCCTACTGAGCTGGGAGCCCAGTGCGAGGCTCCCTCCCAGGACCCCGTGATCATGACCTGAGCCAAAGGCAGCCGCTCAATGACTGAGCCCCCCAGGCACCCCACTATCATATATGTTATTGGTAGCTGAATAAGAAATTTTCCATATGGATTCTTTAGTGCATTAGTATAATTAAGGACATGGAGATAGAGATATGTGCGAAATGTTAATCTAGGAGAGATTTTATCAGGAATATTATTTAACCCTCACCTGTTTCATCCAAGAAAGTCAGCCATTGAAATAGTATATTCGAAATTAGTAATCATTCCCTACCCCCCATTTCTGATAAAAGGTGTTGACCCACACTCAGAAATACTTGGTTTGATTTATTTAATGTGTGATCTCTGGAAATCAGTGTTTTTAAAGCAGGAGTGTTCAAGGTTTGGGTCTTTTTCCTACCTTACCATTCCTGAAGAGCCTCTCTGATTTTTGGAAATCAGTAGTTGTATATTTTTAATTTCTCTTCTGAACTATACAGCAGGAATATACTTTATAATATTTGTCATATGTTCTATACATAGAAATTTAGATGTGGGAAATTTACTTCTTTTCAATATAAATGTTATATAAATATAACTTAATTGCTTTTAATTACTTTAGATTAAATTAATGGGCAAAAAAATCTCTAAGTATTTTAAAAATTATTTTTCTCAGTTGAATGAATGGTTTCCATCTTTTTAGTATTGGGCAAGAGACCATAGATTTTTGTTTTTTAGGTTTTATTTTTTACTTCACTGTTTTAGAATTTTATGTATTAGGGAGCGCTCACACACCAGTATGGGGGAGGGGCAGAAGGAGAGGGAGAAGCAGGCACCCCTCTTTGATAGGTTTTAATCTATAGAAACAAGCACTTTTGTTATTTGATTTGTGGTTTTAAGTTTTTTAAAGTTAGGGGAGATAGGAGAAAAAAAAGTAAGTTTTCCCTCATATGTTTGTGGACCAAATAATAAAATTTTGCATTTTATACTGTGCCTTTCCAAGTGAGTTCAAAAACATGGAAATTACTGTTCTAATTTTATCTGTTTTATGATTTGATAAAATGAATTTTGCTTATGATTAGTTGTGTGTGCTTGGACTTTGAAGCCATAAACTTTTAGTACATGCTGGAAATAAAAAGTTTATTAGATTTTTTTATTCAAGTGCAAATTAGGAATAGAGCAGTGATTTAAAGAACATGAATAATGAGTCTTATTGACCAATGTAAGCCTTAAAGATGAGTAAGCTAGGTACCTTTTTACTTAATTCTGTTTTCTTATAAAACAGAACATTTAAAATATCCCACAAAGTCAAAGTTAGTTTGACTTCTTAAAACCATAAAACCGGGGTGCCTGGGTGGCTCAGTCGGTTAAGCATCTGCCTTCAGCTCAGGTCATGATCCCAGGATCCTGAAATCTAGCTCCTAGTCTGGCAGGCTCCTTGCTCAGCAGGGAGTCTGCTTCCCCCTCTCCCTCTGCCCTTCCCCTTGCTCATGCTTGTGCCCTTTTTCTCTCTCAAATAAATAAAGTCATTAAAAACAGACATAAAACCTATCCTCCTGTGAGCATCAGTTACCATCACACTGAGTTAGCAATAATTATACATTGTAAAGGTTTTATATCAACCACTTGTTTACAGTTTTTCTATATTTTTCTCCTTCTAAACTGTTTATGCTGAACCTGTTTCCATTCTGCAGTAAGATAAATGATGTATACATGGTTTTGCTTGACTAAAAACCAAATTTCTCAGTGAATTCTTCCTTCTTGAGGTTATTTTTTAACTGTGGTTTTCAGATAGCCTAAATATGATTGTCTGGATCTTGGCAAGCAGAAGGAGTTGGGCAGGAAACTGTTCTCTCTTAGAGTTTTTAACAAGCTGACTCTGGTTTGTTCTGGTCGTTCCGATGCATCTGCTACTACCACCTCAATGAAAACAGAAAAACCTTAGTTTTTAATATGTACTTATTCTAAATCTGGTCACAAGTTTGAAGAAGCATTCATTTTTATCGTAACAGCTTACCGTAGCGGACTCCTTTTGTACTTTAAATGAATTTTTACGATTGTTTTTCCTGGTTCAACAAACTTTCTAAAAGGAAGTGTTTCGTTAAGCTGCGCACGTGGATCATACTCATTCTGGTGTTTTGGGTGTCAAGTGGTTATACTGTTTTCTGACCTTTGTTGTCATTGCTTAGGTGTTGTATGAACTTCCCACCAACACACAGTGGTGCTTTGACATTCAGTGGTGTCCCAGAAACCCTGCTGTCTTATCAGCGGCTTCCTTTGATGGGCGGATCAGCGTGTATTCCATCATGGGTGGGAGTGCAGATGGCTTAAGGCAGAAACAAGTCGACAAGGTAATACGAAGTGTTAAGATTTTCAATTATAACACTTGAAAAATACCATCTTATTGTTTAATTGTTTTGTAGATGACTTTACTAATCAGGGCTACTGACTAATTGGATGCTCGTGATAAAAATATTTCATGGGTATGACTTGAAAACATGTAACAATCTCGTATAAGTTACAAATTCTCATGTAATTATATTTTTTAGCTTTCATCGTCCTTTGGGAATCTTGATCCCTTTGGCACAGGACAGCCCCTTCCTCCATTACAAATTCCTCAGCAGACGGCTCAGCGTAACATAGTGTTGCCTCTGAAGAAGCCACCCAAGTGGACCCGAAGGCCTGTTGGAGCTTCCTTTTCCGTAAGTGCGTTCGTTTCTGCGGTCGGTCAGCGTGGAGGACTTCTCTTGGTAAAGTGCTCTTAGAGGGTCATTCAGGTGGAAGAAGATTGAGATGTGCTTGTAAGTTTTTCTCACTCAAAATGGCTTCTCAGAAAAAATGGGAACTTTTTTTTTTTTCTTTTTACTTTAAATTGTGGTAAGATATAGATGACATAAAATTTGCCATGTTAACCATTTAGAAATACACAGTTCAGTGGCATTAAGTACATTTACGTTCTCGTGCAACTTTTATGCTGTCCATCCCCTTATTAAGCTTCAATCTTTTTTTTCTTTTTTTCTTTGGTGGAGGATATATCTGTGTATTCTTCCTTCCTTTATTCCTTCCTTCTAATTTTTTTTTTAATTGCCAATTTCTTTTCTTTTTTATAGTAAAAAAACATGTATCATAGAATTTGCCATTTTAGAGGCGCCTGGGTGGCTCAGTCGTTAAGCGTCTTCCTTCAGCTTAGGTCATCATCCCAGGGTCCTGGGATCCAGTCCCACATGGGGCTCCCTGCTCAGCAGGAAGCCTGCTTCTCCTACTCCCCCGCTTCTGTTTCTTCTCTCAATGTCTGTCTGTCTCTCTCTCTGTCAAATAAATAAATAAAATCTTAAAAAATGGGGTGTCTGGGTGGCTCAGTGGGTTAAGCCTCTGCCTTCGGCTCAGGTCATGATCTCAGGGTCCTGGGATTGAGCCCCGCATCAGGCTTTCTGCTCAGCGGGGAGCCTGCTTCCCACCGCCCCCTCGACCTGACTACTTGTGATCTCTTTCTGTCAAGTAAATAAATAAAATCTTTTTAAAAAAAAACTTGCCATTTTAACCCTTTTTAAGTGTGCAGTAAAGTATGTTAACTGCATACATTTATTATGCAACAGATCTCCAGAACTTTTTTATCTTGCAAAACTGAAACTCTTTGCCAATTAAACGACAACTGCTCTTTTTCCCTTCTCTAGCCCCTGGTAATCACATTCTACTTTCTGTTTCTGAGTTTAACAACTTTAGATACCTCATATAAATGGAATCCTGTAATAACTGTCTTTTTGTGATTGTTTTGTCTCACATAGCATAAGGTCCTCAAGGGTCATCCATGTTGCTGTGTAGTTCTAAAAGGCTGAGTAATAGTCTACATTTTCTTTATGCATTAATCCATCAATGGACATGAAGGTTGCTTCCCCTTCTCGCTAGTGTGAATAATGCTGCGGAGAACATTTGTGCAGTTATGTCTTTGAGACCCTGTTTTCGATTCTTTCGGATATATACACAGAAGTGGGATTACTGGATCTTATGGTAATTCTGTTTTTAATTTTTGGGGGAACCTCCAAACAGTTTCCCATTTTACTGCACCATTTTATACTCCCATCAGCAATGCGCACGGGCTCTAATTTCTCTACATCCTCAGTAACACGTGTTATTTCCTGTTTGTTTAGATAACAGTCATCCTAATGGATATGAAATGATACCTCATTGTGGTTTGATTTGCATTTTCCTGATAAGTAGTGATGTGGAGCGTCTCTTCCTGTATCCGTTGGCCATTTGTATGTCATCTTTGGAGAAATGTCTGTTCAAGTCTTTTGCCCATTTTTTTTTAATCAGGTTGTTTGGGAATTTTGTTATTGAGGTGTAGGAGTTTGTTATATATTCTGAATGTTAACTCTTGACCAGATAAATGATTTGCAAATATTTTTCTCCCATTCTGTATCTTTTTTACTCCGCTGTTTGTTTCCTTTGCTGCACAGAAGCCTCATTGGTCGATTTTTGCTTTTGTTGCCTGCACTTTTGGTGTGACGTCCGTATCATTGCCATATTAATATCCTCGAACTTCTGCTTAGAAAACCCTGGCTGTCCTTACAGACCAGAAAGAAGAGATAAAGGCCTTTCCTAAATATTCTTACTACGCTACTGTTTTTAAGTCTGGCCTAGAACAGTCTGTTGTCCAGTGTTGGGTCACATTCTTCATTCAACCTAGAGGTACAAGAAAACTTCATTTGTGCTAATATTAGTATCTAAAGGGTATTTTTTAATAGCTAAAATGTATTTACTTACTGTATTTATTAGTGTGCCAGCCACTGTTCTAAGCATTTTACATATAGTGTAACTCATTAAATTCTCACAACTGCCTATAAAATAGCTACTACTGTTACCCCATGTTGTAATAGAAAGGCACAGAGGAATTAATAACCTGGCTAATCTTACAGTTACGAAGATTTGAGCGCTTCTCTTGCCAGTCTAATCAGATGCCTATTGTACATAACGATGAGAGTGAGTCCCTTGGTAATAAAGCCTAAAACAAAGGTACTAAACTTACATTATTTGGGGCATCTGGCTGGCTCAGTCAGTAGAGCGTGCAACTCTTGATATTAAGGTCATGAGTTCAAGCCCCACGTTGGGGGGTAGATTTAAGTAGATTACTTAAAAAGATAAAAAATTTTAAAAGCTTATATTATTCATTTTCCCAGTCATCATAACAGAATTTATACACATCGTAGAATTATGTATATTTAAACCTTTTTCAAAACTGAATGAATGATGTCCTCTGCAATTACTGTTGAGTGCTTGCTATCATTCTTCTATTAATCAGGCTCTGAAGTTCTCTTTCGACTTCTTCTGTTCATTCCTCAGGTCCAGACACTGCTCTCCTTATAAATCTCTTGGGTTTAATTCTTCCTATTACTTGGCTGTTACTCTGCCTAATTCTTCGTCTTCTTACACTGAACTGTTACGTTATTGTAACTTGTCTGTTCCCCTCCAATCTATACTACATCTGTCTAGAGTGATCTTCCTAAAATAGACCTTTGATTATGTCACTCATAAATCCATTCTTTGGATTTAATTAATTAATCTTCTCATCCTTCTTGTTTACTTTTCTCTACTCTGTGTACTCCTGCTTTGGAATCTTTTCTTTTGTTTGTGACTTTCCATTTGTTTTTTACTGAATACTAACCATTCATCCAGTTAGTTCCTTCCTTCCCTAAGTAACTAAAACAATTATTATTAAAAAACTGTGTGTAGGGGCGCCTGGGTGGCTCAGGGGGTTAAGCCTCTGCCTTCGGCTCAGGTCCTGATCTCAGGGTCCTAGGATCGACCCCCGCATCAGTCTCTCTGCTCAGCGGGGAGCCTGCTTCCCCCTTTCTCTCTGCCTACTTGTGATCTCTCTCTCTCTCTCTCTCTCTGTGTCAAATAAATAAAGTCTTTAAAAAAAAAGTTATAAAACTGTTGAACAAGGTTTAAAAGAAAACCAAAAGGTACAGAAAAGATGCCCCAATATAAGCTTCTTGAGGACAGACTGTCTGTTTCTCAGGTACGTTCCAGTGCCTGAACTGGTCCCTGACAGGAGATGTTCCCTTTGTATTTAAATGTCTTATGAGTGAGAAGTGACCGTCTTTCCGTCCCCATTCACCCTTCTCCTCTGGCCGGTACTGGAGTATTATAAAGCTGTAAATAACACTCTTCTCTCTTACCCCTACGTGTTTAGAACCACGTGAGAGACGGAGATCCAGAACAGCAGTTCTAGTGCGGCCGTAGGCGGGCGCGGAGGCTCTAGCTCAGACGCGCAGCTGCAGCGGCCTCGTCACAAGCTAGAACGTAGCCTCTGGAGAGCTGGGCCTTCTGTTTGCCGCTCTGTCCCCAGGGTCAGATTTCGTAAGCGTGTTTGTAGCTTCACCCCTGTATTAGGCGGCCTTACTAACCTAGTTACGGGCAAATCCGGTACCCTCGGCCTTCCCTTGAAGGTGCAGGCAGCCGATCCACGGGGACTGTTGTCTAGGCGGGGAGGCAGCTGTAAAAGGAAGTGCCAAGGGGCTGGTGTGAGTAAGCCTGCTGCGTCTCTTCCCCAAAGGATGCCAGGCAGTCCTCCCCCAGGACAGCGTGAAGGACAGAGAAAGGCTGGCGGGTTTCCTCCTCTGCTAGTTCCTCTTACAGAGTGCAAGGAAAATGCCCTCTGTGGACGCGAGCGGTAGAATGTCAGAGGCCCCTCCAGTGTCTTTCGGTTACCAGTGAAGTTTTAGAAGTTTGTGTTGTCTTTAGGATTATCTTTATGAATGTAAATAATTTCCCTGAACATCTGTGTCTCGATTTATCAACTTCATGTAGTACGAATTGAAACTCTTCTGTGCAGTAATGAATTAGTGCACTTATAGACTTCCTTCCAGTTTTTCCAATTTTTTCCCTTTCCAAATTTTTTACTTTTGCCAATTTTTGCAAATCACGTTGTTTTTATATTGTTAAGACTTTAAAAATTTTTTTATTGTGTTCAGTACCAATATTTAAGTTTTGTTTTGGTCAATTTGAAAAAATGATGACTAACAAGCAGCACTTAACATTATTTTTTTAATGCTCCTTTCTTTTTTCCTTTTTATATGTTTTTCGGTGTAAATTCAGTTAATTGACATGGCATTCACATTATTGTGATTATGTAATGGTGTAATATTATTACCTAGAACCAAGTATGTGAACCAAGCCTCTTGTGAAATCCTCCTGTGAAACCCAGTTTTGGTTTTGCTTCTGGGGGGGTTGCATTTTCACCAACTTCCCTAAAACGTGGGGAAACTCAGCAGTTTTGCCCTTCTGTGAAGTCTGTATCATGTGTGGTATTATCTGCTGCTCCTTTAGAGCTTACAAGTGCCTGTTGTATCCAGTTTTATTCTCATGTTAAATTCCTTAAGGAGAGTGCTTAATGCTTTGTTGGTCTTTCAGTTTACGAAAAACAATAATCCTTGTACCAAAATGACTGAGTATAAAGAACCAGATTTGGTCCTGTGTTTCCTCCTTTACTTGTATTTATTGGTATGAAGATACTATTCAGATAGTAACTGTTTACTTGCTATGTGCAAGGCAGGTATTGGGTACAAGAATGAAGTAGACACAGAACCACCATCCCTGTGAGTATAGGGGAGGCAGAACTTTGCACCTGCCCTCCTAGAGTTTTCCCCTGGACCTGAGAATTAAATTGATCAAGACAGATTAACAGGGGAAGAGCATACAGACTTTCTGCACACCTGGGATCCCGTGGGAAATGAAAACACAAGTGGCAAAATCTAAGTGCTTATGTACTAGGTTGGACAAAGAATGGCCGTTGTGGAAAAGTAACTCAAATATTTAGAGAGACTAACGGGAGGCAATGTTATTTAACAACGTCTGTTTGTGCAGGTTTCTTTCCCCCTCTGGTGATACGAATGTTTCTTCCCCCCTGGTATAGAGAGGGTAGCTGTCACATGGGAGTTTTATCTCCAGCTTTTGGGAAGAAAAGAGGAGGTCAGGATGCCCTTCTTCCCTGCTGTTTTCCAGGTAGTCCTTGGCTAGTCCTCATGCCAGAGGCATATTTTGGAGGGGCATATCCTGCCTCCCTTTAAAGCTTGGAGCCGAGAACAGAGGGTGAGGCAAATACATATAAGCTCGTAGTTGAATCGGAAGAGATCTCTAATAGGGGCGCCTGGGTGGCTCAGTGGGTTGGGCCTCTGCCTTCAGCTCAGGTCGTGATCTCAGGGTCCTGGGATTGAGCCCCGAGTAGGGCTCTCTGCTCAGCGGGGAGCCTGATTCCTCCCCCCACCCCCGCCTGTCTCTCTGCCTACTTGTGATCTCTCTGTCAAATAATAAAATCTTCAAAAAAAAAAAAAGAAAGAAAGAAAGAAAGAGATCTGCAATATATTGATAGCAGCTGAGGTGGAGGAGGTGGCATTTCCCCGGGCCTTGATGAGAAAGGAAGTTGAGGATGTGCACGTTAGTAAAAACAAACAGGTGAGAAACTGTGAGGCACAGTAAATAGAACGTTTTCTCTAGAAGGCAGGTGGTGTGGAGAAGAACAGTGATTGGAGGCTGGGGTCAGATCGTGGAGTGCAAGAGACTGTATCAGCTGCTTCTTTCCAGAGTGAGAGCTATTTAGGCCGAAGTTCTTTTCCATTAGCAAGTTTTTCGGTAAGCACGCTTGTTGGCCGTCTCCTTGTGGTCCAGACTGACTTTGTTCATTGTTCCGTTTCCAGTTCGGAGGCAAACTGGTTACCTTTGAGAACGGCAGAGTGCAGGCCCAGCAGGGAGCTGAGCAGCACCACCAGGTGTTCGTCAGTCAGGTCGTCACAGAAGAGGAGTTCCTCAGCCGGTCGGACCAGCTGCAGCAGGTCGTGCAGTCGCAAGGATTTGTCGGTTACTGTCAGAAGAAAATCGAGGCTTCTCAGACTGAGTTTGAAAAAAATGTGTGGTCCTTTTTGAAGGTAAAGTTGAGATTAAAACAGTTTCATTATCTGCAAATTTAACTCTTCCCAATTATATTCTCATTCTGTTCTTAATTAAAGAAATTATTGCAGGCTTGTGATTTCAGGAGCTTTGTGATTTGAGATTAAAGAAACCTTATGAAGAGCACGTGACCATATTTTTATGTCAAAAGCTCTTCCCTCTCTGCTTTGAAGAGCCTAGTATGAAGTACTTTTTTAAGAAGTAAAAAACGACATGATAGTTATATTTAAGTGGGAGATATTTAACATTCCGCAGACCTATCTTAAAGCTCTAACACAGAGCTTAGTTTAATGAAAACGATATTTAATTTCTTTAGTAGATCCAGTTATGGAAAATGGGAAAAGAGGGAAAAGCGTAGGGGAGAGAGGTTGGAGGCATTTCTCACTCCTTTTACCGAGTTGCATTTATGACAAGAGGAAATAGAGTTTCTGGTTGGTCATTTTGCCTCCACTGGAGTGTCTGTTTCTTGATACTAAATTTTCCAAAGAGATCTTAAATGCAGTAAGGTTAAATTCTGAAATTTCAGAATTTTATATTTTGTAATCATTAATTTTGGGAAGGAGTTTTAGGACATTGAGTGTTCGTGGAGCATTGCGTTTTGCACGCCTGTAACCATCGGACGTGAGTTCGCTTGTATTTACAGAAATTAGAATTTAAGGGTAAGCTTTGGGGCGCCTGACTGGCTTATTCAGTAGAGCATTCAACTCTTGATCTCAGGGTCGTGAGTTCAAACCCCTCAGTAGGCATGGAGCTTCCTTAAAAAGTAAAATAAAAGTAAGCTTTATTCGACAAGGGTAATTAATAACTAGTATACTACTATTAAAGAAAACTATATGGGGGAATCTTTCTTACAGTGAGCCTTCTACATAGTAGATATAGAAAGCTTTAGTTGGTAACAATAGACTTTAGTAGACTTTATTTTTTATAATTTCTAATAATTCCACTTGCAATTTGATCGGGTAATTAAAAATCTAAAGACATGTCTTTATTTCAAGATTATGTCTTCTTTAAAGGTGAACTTTGAGGATGATTCTCGGGGAAAATACCTTGAACTTCTAGGATACAGAAAAGAAGACCTAGGAAAGAAGGTAAATTTCTGGGGAAGTTAAAAGGCTGTGCTTAGGCAAGTAAAATATTTATGTAGCCTAAATGTTCTTTTTATAAACTTCTATACAGGTAATCTCAAGTCATTCAATAAATATTTAATAAGAATTTGTTTGGTTGCCAGAGTTCCAAGTACATATCATTATATTCCACCTTGTACCTCGATTTAAAAGCTGTTGGAACCGCCTGGACTCCGGATTCGATTTAAAGAGCTGTGTCGTATTAGGTAGAATTGGGCCTTGAAAGAGAAGAGGCTGTCAACTTCGAACACTGGACATAACACTGAGATTTTAAGAGGGTGCACAGCCAATGGCCCTGGGGGAGAAGAGAACAAGGGAGCTGTTAGAGACCACCTGGTGTTCACTGCAGCTTCCGCGGTGAAGAGTCGAGTCCTGGTCCAGATGAGCCCAGTTTTTGGCTCTCGCCATTCTTGCCTTTAGTCTGCAACCCAGACTCTATGCGGTTTGTCCAGCCGACAGATAGCCAGTAAATATTTTGGAACAAGGGTGAATTACTGTACTGAACCTGAATAAGCAAAAGTCCAACTGAGTCACTTAACATTTTAACTTAGAAAAAGATTCCCTTTTAAAAAGAGAGAAAGTCGTCCTCCCGTTGCACAGCTGTATTCTCCCGGAGAAGCATCGTTACTCCTTCCACGGTACTGACGGGAGCAGCCCGAAAGCACTCTGCCTCTGGAAACCTTGAAGGAAGTGTTTTAGATTCTTTGCGTAATTTGTCTTAGCCCTTTGTTGTTCTTGGAAAGCGACTTGAGTTTTCTGTAGCGTCTCAGGTGGCTGCGTGCGGGGTGGGGCGCGGCTGCTTTGTCCTCGGAGCTGAAGGTGGCACCGCACAGCCCCGCGGCTTATTGGCAGTGTCTTGCTCATGCCTTTCGATTTTGTTGTATTTAACTTTATTATTAGTCTGAACTTCTTGGTGCTTTAACTTTTACAAGTTTGTAAGAGGTCGGTGTGAAAGTTTTACTAAATGCCTAATAGCAAAAATGAGGAAATAGAATCTGATTGTCAGAAAACTTCTAATAGCAGTTCTTTCCGTAGTGAGTACTTGAAGGAAGTTTTTAAAATTAATTATAGTTATTTAAAAGAAAGTAGAAGAAAATGTGCTTGTTTTGAGGTTAGGTTTGGGTTGAATAGCAGATTCTATTCTTTCCGTAAACACACCACCCCAATCTGAACTTTGGCGGATTTTTGCCGGTGAAGATGGAGAAGGAGGTGACCATTTGCTCTGTGCCTTAAGCAGAATTCCGTGTAGTAGGCGAGTTGTTGTTTTCATTTCAGATCACTTTGGCCTTGAGCAACGTGGACGGACCAAATGCGGTAAGAAGGCCTTTAAAAATAGCTACTTCCAAAAATTTGTCTGAGGTCATAACACAGAAGGAAATGTAATTTCAGATATGTGCCTGTTTTATTGCTTTACAGTGTAAAAAAAATGCTGATTGTAGGTATTTTAATAAGTGAATTCTCATTTTAAAATAATGTAAGTTTAGCTGGTAGAGAGTATTCCTTTCTCTTGATGATACTTGAATTTTGCAAAAGAGGAAAAACAGTATCAGTGACTGCTCAGATATTTGAGATTAAGGTCTTGTTCCTGGGGGACATTTGATAGGGAAAAAGGAAAGGTCTTAGCAGTAACAGCTCTTTGCTTTTCCTCTAATAGTATTTCTTAAGTCAATATACCCAGTGTTGCTTCTTACGATGAAACTAGCGCTGAATGTTGTTGGTTGGGTCTTTTGTCTGTCTTAGTCACTAATATTCTTTTAATGCTACATTCTTCAACTTCCCTTGTAATTGTTTTGTGTACCAAAGGCTCTTAAAGACTCTGACCAAGTAGCACAGAGTGATGGGGAGGAGAGCCCTGCTGCCAGAGAGCAGCTCTTGGGAGAGGTACTGATTTCTTTCATTTCTCATTACGCTGGGATAATATGTGATGCTTGTTTATCTCACATTGAAATATGGAAAATTTGCTTAACTACTGTTCCAAAATGAATTTGGAATATATTGTTTTCTTAGAGATTTTTGGGGTAGGAGCCTATTTACTTGTTTGGGAGAAGGATTGTCTATGAAATCTTCAGTTCTTTCACCTAGCTTCTGGAGTATGTGATTTAAAATTAAGAGTTGACATGAGATTGACCTAATTTGGTCAAATGGATATCAGCGCGTCAGAATGAAAAATCTTGCTCAGAAATCCACGGTACATTGCATGGAAAGCTGATGCCTTTTCTTGACACCTCGTATTTACAGCCTGCTATCAGTGGCAGAGATTTCTAAATTAGTCTTGAACTTTGAATCCAGGTATAGAATTTTTCACTAAATAAACTCTCATGATTTACTGATTGTCATGAGAAATGTGTCACGAGTTGTAGTTGACAATTTTTATAACCAGTTAAAAAGAGTCCTTGAACACAGAGTTGTATCATTTTTTTTTTTCCTTTTGTTTTTCTGGGTTTTTTTTAACCATTACTAAATAATTTTGTACTTTCCTTGCTTTCTAATTATATTTCATCTTGGAAAATTAATTAACAAGTTCTTGTTTCTCATCTCATCTTTGACTTGTTCCTTCTTTCTGATACGGAGATAGCTTGACTATGGATGTTTCTTACAATCCTTAGCGAAGTTATAAGAATAATTGATCAGTAAATTTAGACTTTTACAAGATAATTATTAAAGAACACTTCCCATAGAAATAGATCTAATGTTTATTTAACCTGAGAATAAAGAATATGAGTAAAATCTTTATAAAAATTTGAACCAGTTGTGGTAATACCCATACAGAATTGTAGGATACATTCAAGGAATGTACTTTCATCTATGTACAATTAGACTAACTATGTATTAACAAGTAGAGGACCATTTGGAAATACACTTACAAATTAATAGCAAAATAATAGGTACTTAACAAAACGGTAGTCACCAGTGTGTACTTTCAGAGTATTTTAGAGTAAAATTCTGTTTACCTTGATGATGCTATTTGTTTATGAGACACAGTAGTTTATACATTGAAAATGCTCGGCATGTAATAAACCGTTTTCTCAGCGTTGTATTTCAGAAGTCCATGAATAAGGGTTTATTAATTGTTTCTTCAAAGACAAATTTTAAAAATTGTGGTTAATAAAAAAAAAAGAAAAGGTTTTTTTAGTAAGTTAGTGAATATAATCAGATCAGTGTCTGATTTATTTATTGTGAATTTAATGTGAATAACTTCAGCTCTAAAAATTTTTTTATTTAAGCTTTAAAATTCTAGAATGCTTCTCTTTAGGGAAAGAATTAAGGGTATGGTTATTCCCCTATAATAGTATTAGTTCATTAAACATTATTTACAGATGATGCTACGCTGTGCCCTGTACTAAAATTCCCCAATCCAAAAATGCCCCAGACTTCGAATACTAGGCACTTGCATTCAAATGTGTAGGTAACACGAGCAGAGAAGATCGGTATTTTATCTCGTGCCAGATAGCTATGTTTTTCTTAAAAATTTCTCTATAATCTCTGATACATTTTAAATTTTGTCTTCTTATGAATTTTTATACATAGAAAGCATTTAAACTATTTGCCAGCAATATGCCTTCCTTATGTTTCTTTTCTTCTAAAGAAAGAAAATATAGAATTTCTTTTTATTCAGTCTTACAGGTAGTCTCAGAAGTTTATAACAGAACTATGTATCTTTTTACCACACCAACCTGCTATTGCAGGTATGACTAATTTAAGAGAATACAAAATCTGCAATTGAATTTAAGTATATTCATACAGTCTTTTTTTTTTCCGTATAGTCTTTTATATAGCATTTGTACAAGGGCACCAGGTGTTTTTTTTTTCAAGACTGATTCGATTAAAATAAAAAGACCTTATAACTAACCTTAATGATTGGACAGAAATTTTGAGACACACAGGAAATTTTAGATGTATAGCAGCAGGGTTCATTTAAAGTCTAAATATGGTAAAATTAGAAACATGTATTCTGCATGTCTCTACCTATTCTTACTTGAAGTGTCTAGGAAAACAGCTTCTTCAGTAATTTCTGAGCTACCGGTAGTAGATACGTACCTTAAAGCTTTTTTTAAAACATTATTCCTGATGACCTTGTATTTTATTTATGATTGTATCGTGGGAGCTAATACTTAGGAAAGTCTTGGATCTGAGAACTTTTCTGGAGTAACTTGGCATGTCATCCAGTCAGTAGGTGAATAGTTATATATAAATCTTGTTTGGCCAGTAAATTATTCCACTTTCATTCTGGCTAAATTGTTGTCCTTTCCATCTCTTCAGTGCATTAAAGAGGGAAAACAAGAATCTGAATTTCTACCATCAGCAGGAGGAACATTTAACATCTCCATCAGTGGGGGTAAGTACTTGTTCCATTTTGGTTTTTAGCAATCTGAAAGCAAGTAATCCCTAAGTTAGGTTACAGATATTTTATCCCAAGTGGCAGAGGGTTGAAAAGAAGAACTCAGTTATTTAGTGTATGTAATCGGTCTCTTGGAGCTATGTTCTGACATCTATGTGATAAAAGAACTGTGTAACAGTCTCTATTATTCCCATGTAAACAGTCTGAAGAATGTGTTATTTTACCTGATTTTACTTACATGCATCTCAGTATATTTCCATAGACCTCAAAAACTTTTGTTAGAAATTAATCCACTGGTAATATTCAGAAATTAGCGTAGTTTTCTCCCTTTGTGTGTGCATGCCAAAACTGATATATGTAGGATTTTCTCTTGCAACAAAAACTTTATTTAACTTGGGTGTATTATTTCCTTATTGCAGATATTGATGGCCTAATTACTCAGGCTTTGCTGACGGGTAACTTTGAGAGCGCTGTTGACCTTTGTTTACATGACAACCGCATGGCCGATGCCATCATACTGGCTATAGCAGGTGGACAAGAACTCCTGGCTCAAACGCAGAAAAAATACTTCGCAAAATCCCAGAGCAAAATTACCAGGGTATGTTATTTTAAAAATAGATAAACTATAACACTTACCTAATTATAAAAGCAATACAGCCTTACTAAAGATAACTGAAATGCAGAAAACAGTGAAAACAGTCAAGAGCAAAAAAGACCCACTCATTGTTCCTTGCACCAGGAATAGTTATTGTTGACAGTTTGGCCCTGTTACTGTTTTTATTTTTTGTACTTTGTGTATGTAACTTTTTAAATGAAAAGTACTTTTCATTTTTTTATTGTGGAAAAGTTGGAATGTAGAAAATTTAAAGATAAAAATGTTAATTTTAAAATTCTGATTCTTCCATCAAATTGGTATATATCCTTTGAACCTCTTTCTATGTATTTGTAGAATTTTTAAAAACAGGATCAGGACCACATATGTGTGTATGTGTGTAGTTTTGCTTGTAGATATTGCCACTCACATTGTAAATGGTTTACCATTTCGTTAAAAATTCTTATAAAAAATTTTTATGGCTCTATAATGTTTTTTAATACGTATATATTATTTCTCTTTGTTTAGGCAGTTTCTCATAACAAAGATAAACGTCTTTGTTGTGCAAAGGGATTTTCTGTGATTTCTAATTGTTGAATGAGGCTATAAGTCCTAGGGAAGGAATTTTTGGTGCAGAGAGTCTGAATATTCTCAAGCCCCTGCTTAATGTTGCCAGATTTATTTCTGTGGAAGTCACCTGGTGTTCGGTTCCCGCCAGGATCGGTCGCTGCCGGCCTCCGCTGCCTTACCTCATGTCCCTCCCTGTTATCTTTCAGCCATACCGTCTGCCTTTCACTTCCTCGGACGCCCTATGTGCCCCTTTCTCCCTTGGGACTTTTTACCTTGTGTTCCCGTGCCCTGGAATGTCGGTTTTTTCTTTGCTTTTTTTTGTTTGTTTGCTATAAATTCTGGTAGTTAGTATACGATGCGATACCAGTCTCAGGGGACTTGGTGCTCCCACACAGCCCTGGTGCGCTTCATCATCCCCACCACCCATTTGCCCATTCCTCCCATCTGCCTGCCTTCTGGTAACCCGCAGTTTGTTCTCTATCATTTAGAGTCTCTTGGTTTGACACCCCCCATTTTTCTTCCCCTTTGCTTATTGGTTTTGTTTCTTAAATTTCACATATGAGTGAAATCCTGCGGTATTTGTCTTTCTCTGACTTATTCTGCACAACATAATACTCCTCAGCTCTGTCCCCATCAGTGCACCGGGCAAGATTTCATTCGTTTGAATGGCTGAGTTGTCTTCCGTTGTGTGTCTAGTCTACCTTTTCTTTATCCCACCACCGGTCGGTGGACAGTTGGGCTCTTTCCCTGATTTGCCTGTTGTGGATAATGCTGCTAAAATGTCAGGGTGCATTTCTCCTTTCAAATCAGAATTTTTGTATCTTTGGGTAAATACCCAGTAGTGCCATTGCTGGGTCGTAGGGTAGCCCTATTTTCACCTTTCTCAGGAACCTCCATGCTGGTATCCAGAGTAGCTGCACCAGCGGACATTCCCGCCCAGTGTGGAGGGTCCCCTTTCTCCGCATCCTCGCCAACACCTGTTGTTTGCTGTGTTGTTAATTTTAGCCCTTCTGACTGGTGTGAGGTGGGATCTCACTATGGTTTTGATTTGTGTTTCCCTGATGATGAGTGATGGGGAGCATCTTTTCATGTGTCTGTGGGCCATCTGGATGTCTTCTTTGGGAAAACGTCTGTTCATATCTTCTGCCCATTTTTTAATTGGATTATTTTGGGGGAGTTGGTGAGCTATATCAGTTCTTTATATATTTTGGGTACGAACCCTTTATCAGATATGTCATTTGCAAGTATCTTCTCCTATTCCATAGGTTGCCTTTCAGTTTTGTTGATTGTCCTTCGCTGTGCAGAAGGTTTTTATTTTGGTGGAGTCCCAATAGTTTATTTCTGCTTTTGTTTCTCTTGCCTCAGGAGACATATGTAGAAAGAAGTTGCTGCAGTCTATGTCAACAGGGTTACAGCTTGTGTTCTCCTTAGGATTTTTATGGTTTCCTGCCTTATATGTAGGTCTTTCATCCATTTTGAATTTATTTTTGTGTGTGGTATAAAAATGTGGCCCAGGTTCATTATTTTGCATTTTGCTGTCCAGTTTTCCCAACACCATTTGTGGAAGAGACTTTTTGTTTTTTGCCATTGGACATTCTTCCCTGCTTTGTTGAAGATTAGTTGACCATATAGTTATAGGTTCATTCCTGGGTTTTCTGTTCTATTGATCTGTATATCTTTTTATGCCAGTACCGTACGTCTTGATGACTATAGCTTTGTGATATACCTTGAAGTCTGGAATTGTGATACCTTCAGCTTTGCTTTTCTTTTCAAGACTGCTTTGGCTCTTTGGGGTCTTTTGTGGTTCCATACAAATTTTAGGATTATTGTCTAGCTCTGTGGAAGTGCTGTTGGTATTTTGATAAGGATTACATTAAATGTATGGATTGCTTTGGGTAGTGTAGACATTTTAACAATATTTGTTCTTCCAATCCATGAGAATGGTATATCTCTCCATTTCTTTGTGTCATCTTCAGTTTCTTTCATCAGTGTTTTATAGTTTTCAGAGTACAGGTCTTTTACCTCTATGGTTAGGTTTATTCCTATGTATTGTATTATTTTTGGTGTAGTTGTGAATGGTATTGATTCCTTAATTTCTCTTTCTAGTACCTCAGTATTGGTGTATCGAAGTACAACCGATTTCTGTACATTGATTTTGTATCCTGTGGTTTTACTAAATTCCTGTATCAATTCTAGCAGGTTTTTGGTGGAGTCTTTGTTTTTTGTTTTTTGTTTTAAGATTTTATTTGTTTATTTGACAGAGATCACAAGTAGGCAGAGAGAAGGTGGGAAGCAGGCTCCCCACTGAGCGGAGAGCCCGATGTGCGGCTCAATCCCAGGACCCTGGGATCATGACCCAAGCCGAAGGCAGAAGCTTTCGCTTTCCCACTGAGCTTTCCCACTGAGCCTCCTAGGCACCCCGTCTTTGGGTTTTCTGCATAGAGTATCATGTCATCTGCAAATAGTATAAATTTGATTTCTTCCTTGCCAGTTTGGATGACTTTTATTTCTTTTTGTTGTCTGATTGCTGAGGCTAGGACTTCCAGTACTGTATTGAATAAAAGTGGTGAGAGTGTACATCCCTGTCTTGTTCCTGACCATAGAGGAAAAGCTTTTAGTTTTTCCCCATTTTGGATGATATTACTTGTGAGTTTTCATATATATGGCCTTTATTCTACTGAGGAATGTTCCCTCTAAACCTACTTTATTGAGGGTTTTTAACATGAATGGATGTACCTTTTCAAATGCTTTTTTCTGCATCTGTGGAAAGGATCATATGCTTCTTATCCTTTCTCTTACTGATATGATATATCACATTAATTGATTTGTGAATATTGAGCCATCCTTGCAACCAGGAACAAATCCCACTTGACTGTGATGAATGACTTTTTTTTTTTTTTTAAGATTTTATTTATTTGACAGACAGAGATCACAAGTAGGCAGAGAGGCAGGCAGAGAGAGAGGTGGAGGCAGGCTTCCTGCGGAGCAGAGAGCCCGATGCGGGGCTCGATCCCAGGACCCTGGGATCATGACCTGAGATGAAGGCAGAGGCTTAACCCACTGAGCCACCCAGGCGTCCCGATGAATGACTTTTTTAATGTATTGTTCAATTCAGTTTGCTATTATTTTTTTTTTTAAGATTTTATTTATTTACTTGACAGAGATCATAAGCAGGCAGAGAGGCAGGCAGAGAGGGAGGGGAAGCAGGATCCCTGGAAGCTGGTGCAGGGCTCGATCCCAGGACCCTGGGATCATGACCTGAGCCGAAGGCAGAGGCTTAACCACTGAGCCACGCAGGTGCCCCTCTCATAATATTCTCTTATAAGTGCTTGTATTTTTGTGGTTTTGTTACTTCGTCTCTCTCATTTGTGATTTTATTTATTTGGGTCCTTTCTCTTTTCTTTTTGATAAGTCTGACTAGTGGTTTATCAGTTTTATTCATGTTTTCAAAGAACCAACTCCTGGTTTCATTGATCTATTCTATTGCTTTTTTAAGTTTCTATATCATTGATTTCTGCTCTAATCTTTATTATTTCCTTCCTTCCTTCTGGCTTTAGGCTCCATTTCTTCTTTTTCTAGTTTCTTCAGGTGTAAAGTTAGGTTGCTTATTTGAGTTTTTTCTTGTTTCTTGAGGTAAGCCTGTATTGCTTTATACTTCCCTCTTAGAACCATTTCACTGCATCCCAAAGGTCTTGGACCATTGTGTTTTCTCATCTTCATTTGTTTCCACATACTTGTTTTATTTTTTCATTTCCTGGTTGACCCATTCGGAGTTTGGTAGCATGTTATTTAACCCCCTGTATTTGTGATTTGTGATCTTTCCAGATTTTTTTCTTGTGGCTGACTTACCGTTTAATGGCATTGTGGTTGGAAAAGGTGCATAGTATGACTTCATTCTTTTTAAATTTGTCGAGGCCTGTTTTGTGACCTAATTAATATATGACCTCTTCTGGAGAATGCTCCCTGTGCACTTGAAAAGGATGTGTATTCTGCTGTTTTAGGACGGAATGTTCTGAATATATCTGTTAATCTCCTCCTACTCCTCTGCCGTCCGATCCAGTGTGTCATTCAGAGCTGTTGTCTCCTTGCAGATTTTCTGTTTAGACCTGTCCATTGGTGTGATTGGTTATTGAAGTCCCCTACTATTTTTGTGTTATTATCAATTAGTTCTTTTATGTTTTTATTAATTGTTTCATATATTTGGGTACTCCCATATTGTGGTGCATAAATATTTATAATTGTTATATCTTCTTGTTGGATTGTCCTCTTTATTATTATGTAGTGTCCTCCTTTGTCTCTCGTTACAATCTTTGTTTTAAAGTCTGGTCTAATATAAGTATTGCTATTCCAGCTTTTCTTTTGATGTCCATTTTTGTGACAAATGTTTCTCCACTATCACTTTCGATCTGCAGGTATCTTTAGGTCTAAAATGAGTCTCTTGTGTGCAGCGTATAGTTGGGTCTTGTTTTTTAATCCAGTCTGACACCCTGTATCTTTTAATTAAGGTGTTTAGTCCATTTACAGTCAAAGTAATTATTGATAGGTATGTACTTATTGCCATTTTATTGCTTGTTTTGTGGTTGTTCCTGGAGATTTTTCTCTGATCCCTCTTTTCTCTTTTTCACATTTTGCTGATTTTTTTCTTTAGTGATATATTTGGATTTCTTTCTCTTTATTCCTTGCATGTTAATTAGTGGTTTTGACCGGTTGTTGCTGTTAGATCTGTCTATAGCCTCTTCTGCATATAGCAGTATGAAGTTGATGTTAAGTTTGTTTGAACTCATTCTTTTTCCCTCTCCTCCCCATTGTTTATATATGTTATTTTATTTTATATCCGTGTGTGTGTGTGTGTGTGTGTGTGTGTGTGTGTTCCTTGACTCATTTTTAACTTCTGGGGTATTTAGGGTAATTGGATAGTTATCTAGTTGTGTTCATAGGACAAACCTAGGGTCCTCCTCCTCCTCTGCCATCTTCCTGTTTTCTGACCTCTTTTCTTCTTGATGAAGTTAATTCTGACTTTATATCTCACATGTACTCAGAATATTTTTCCTGACCCATCAGACCAGGTCATGTTTTCCTGTTAAAAGGTTTTTTTTTTAAAGATTTTATCTATTTATTTGACAGAGATCACAAGTAGGCAGAGAATGAGGAAGGGAAGCAGGCTCCCCGTTGAGCAGAGAGCCCGATGTGGGGCTCAATCCTAAAACCGTGGGATCACCACCTGAGCCGAAGGCAGAGGCTTTACCCCACTAAGCCACCCAGGCGCCCCACTGTTAAAAGTTTTGATTACACCCTATACTTTTCCTTCCCAGCCTATTTATAAAATATGCTTGTTTGATTTTTTTTTTTTTGAGAAAAAATAACCATCTTATGTCATTTGGTTCAAGGATATACTTCACTTTGCTGCTGCTTTATTCTGCATGAAATACTTTGAATAGTAGTTTTGAATGATATGATTGATTAGCCAGAGTTAATTTTTACTGATACACCAAGGACTTTTAATTCTCCCTTTATTTTCCTTTCTTAAGCTAATTACTGCAGTGGTGATGAAGAACTGGAAAGAAATTGTTGAGTCTTGTGACCTTAAAAATTGGAGAGAGGCTTTAGCTGCGGTATTGACTTACGCTAAACCAGATGAATTTTCAACGCTTTGTGGTAAGAAAATGAGCCTTGTATTTATATTTATATATTTATATTTATATCTATATCATGTATATGGCATAGCATATTTTAAATAAAATTATTGACAGATCGTATTAGAAATTTTTGCAAACCAGCTAATCACTCGGTAAACATAAATTCTCATTTGAACGCTTTTCTCGAATTATTAACTATATCATTTCTCCATACCTAGTCATTATTTTTAATGATTTTGGTTTTAGGCAGACTAGACTTGGAATCTTGCCTCCGCCACTTATTAGATCTATGACCTAGGAAGGATTACTTTCTAAGCCTTAGTCTATTATTTGTAAAATTGCATATAATCAGATTTCACTTAATAAATATTAGCTTGGTAGGGGCGCCTGGGTGACTCAGTTGTTTAAGTGCCTGTCTTCTGCATGGGTCATGATCCTGGGTCCTGGGATCAAGCTCCAGATCAGGCTTCCTGCTCCGTGGGGACTCTGCTTCTCTCTTTCCCTCTGCTGCTCCCCCTACTTGTACTCTCTTTTTCTCTCTGTCAAATAAATAAAATCTTTAAAAATAAAGAAAGAAAATGTTAGCTTGATAAAATTAGTAATTACAGCATTTGAATGGAAATTACAAATTACCATTAAAGGCCATGACTATATTGGTGGCTAAGGAACGATACTCCTTGTTTGTAAGAAAGGAAGCTTCAGGCCACTGGTATAAGAAAAACCAACCACTTGCTACCTTGAAAGCATTATGAGAATATGAAGTATAAGGTGTTAACTTTATTATCATAAGTAATTTATAGTGGTCCTACCTACCATTTATGTTCCTTCTAAATGTGCAGTATTACATCTACACAAACATGAGATGCGATGAAATGGAGTTGAATGTTCGTTAGGATTTTTCTGTTCAAATATTGTTCCCATTTATTATTTTTTAATATAACTAATAGAAATTCATTCTATAGCTAGGTATATAGAATCTTGTCAAGCCATTTATTACATACAATTAGTCACACGCGTCCTTCTTTTTTTTAATTTTTAAAAGATTTTATTTGCTTATTTGGCAGAGAGATCACAAGTAGACAGGAAGGCAGGCAGAGAGAGGGAGAAGCAACCTCCCCACTGAGCAGAAGCCGGACTTGAGACTCGATCCCAGGACCCTGAGATCATGACCTGAGCCAAAGGCAGAGGCTTAACCCACTGAGCCACCCAGGCACCCCTACCTCCATTCATAAATATTTACTGGGCATTTACATAATAGTAATTTTGTTTCTGTCTACTACTCATTGGTTGTGTGAAGTTTAATTCATACTTCTGAAAATATTATTGGTCTTCTTACAACTTCATATATAGATTGCTTTGAGCCTAATCTCATTTTGTTTTCTGCTTGATCTTTAGATCTTTTGGGAACCAGACTTGAAAGTGAAGGTGACAGTCTCCTGCAGACTCAAGCATGTCTCTGCTATATTTGTGCAGGGAATGTAGAGAAACTGGTTGCATGTTGGACTAAAGCTCAAGATGGAAGCAATCCTTTGTCCCTTCAGGTTAGTATCTTTGAACAAAGGTGCTTCCTTTCTTGTGCTTTCACTGTACTTATATTCTGGAAATTGATTCGTTCCACTTCATTGCTTTCCTTTGTTATCTATGTTTTAGAAGTTCTTTTGCTGGATAATTTATGTGTCTTTGTAGCTATATTTGGAGGGGCAAAGTATGAAATGATGGAATAGGTAAAATGGGGTCACAACTGTTCGTGAAGTCAAGGTTATGATTGGGTAGTTAATGGGGGGAAGTAGATGGCGATAGGATGGAAACAGCCCTAGAGTTTACTTCTTTTTCCTCATGGTTCTCTCTTGCTGCCTGTGTTGACCCTGTCTGCCTTGGGCAAGGAAAGAAACAATGTGGCAAGGAATGGGAGGCATCCTCAGTACAATAGAGAATAGATTAAGATATTCATGGTTACGGGAAAATGAAAGTAAGGTGAAGTGGAATCCCATGTAGCCCTACAACCTGGGCAAGAGGGGGAGTAAAAAATATGGGGACTCTTCTCAGCCACTGAATAACTATATATTTAGATACTTTTTCCCAAACATGTAATCAACAGAGTGTCATAATATTTCATTCAAATATATTTGTTTTTCTCTCTGGAAAGAGATTTTTCTCAACAGAGTTGTTACTTTAAAGATCACCCTATTAAAACTGAGAATCTGGTAGGAAATCAAGGCTTTCCTTCTAAGTGCTTCAGAGAAAAAGCACACTTGCTTCATACTTCTGGATCTGTGTACCTTTGAAAGGCAGCTAGTAGGGTATTCTTGTGCTTTGTACTTGAAGCTCCCTGTTGTTGAAATAATTGGTATCGAAGAGCAACGTGAGAAACTTTTGGGTTGAAATAGTAAGCTCATTGGAGGTCGCCTCATAGCAGTACTGTTTTTATAGTGTAGCTAGTACGGTATCTTTAGTCACAGTTTGTTTTATACCTGCTGGAACTCAGCTTCTGCCTTTGGGTATCTGCCTGTCACTTCCTCTTTGGATGTTTGCCTACTTTAGTTCACAAGACGAGTATCTGGCCATTTAAGGATATTTAGGAGAAGGTGGTAACTTATGCCTTATTCGTAAATAAGAGCCCTTCTTCCTCCTCACTTTTTCAGTTTACCTAAATCATGGTCAGCTGTTGCAGACGTTTTTAAGAAAGAGGGTAACATGATGTACTTCTAGTAGGTTTTAGAAACCTTCATAACTCTTTGTCTTTTCTTGCCTTCTTTCATAAACATCTTGATATCTTTGTCTGGTTCTCCTTCTCCCTCTCCCTTCTTTTTCTCATTTAGGATCTTATTGAGAAGGTTGTCATTCTGCGAAAAGCTGTACAACTCACCCAAGCCATGGACACCAATACCGTAGGAGTTCTTTTGGCTGAGAAAATGAGTCAGTATGCGAATTTGTTGGCAGCCCAGGGCAGCATTGCTGCAGCCTTGGCTTTTCTTCCTGAAAACACCAACCAGGTAATTAGAATTGACCATTTTTCTTCTTTTAGTGTGTGAATAAGGTGAGTCCAGTAGGTAGCACTCAGGATTGAACTATGAATATTTAATACTTAACCAAACATGTGGGGTTGTGGTTTTAAAATGCCACCCCAGACATAGATACTAGCAAAGCAGTTCATTTTATATACCATTCCAGTCTGATATTTTCTGGGGACTTTGGGGGGTGGGTGGGGGGAGGCATAGGGAGAGGTAGAGAGAGAATCCCAAGCAGCCTCCATGCCCAGCGTGGAGTCTGACATGGGGCTCCAACCCATACCCCTGAGATCATGACTTGAGCTGAAATCAAGAGTCAGATGCTTAACCAGCTGAGCCACTCAGGCGCCCCAGGACAAGTATATTTTTCAAGTACTCAAAACACAATTACATTTCTAATTTAGTGTCCTTATTTGGTATCCATTAAAATGGGCTTTTTCAATGCAGTGGAATTCAGTAAGAGACTGACTGTGTAGTGACGGACATGATTGCTAGGATTCTTTTCCTGGGGGGGGGGGATTTCCAAATTCAAACTGAATATAGACAAGTAAACATCTGATTCCAAAAGTGATACATACTGTGATGGAGGTAGCAGGGCTGTGGAAGCATGGAAGAGGGCTATCTAAATTTAATAATGGAGCATGGATGGAAATTAGGGTGGGATTTGAGGGCAGTTTTCCACAAGTAGGATGTTTATATATAATCTGTATTGTGTGTCTGACAGAGCATAATTTTGAGCCTTAAAGAATTTTGTTTCTGTACTTCTTATTATAAACTTTACTTTGTTTTTAATGGATTTTTTTAGTTAAATATTTTCAGTATTTTTTCTGTTCTATGGAATTATCAATACATTTCCTTGAGTAATTTCATTGAGTAAAAATACTTACATCTGTGTTCCAGGATTATGGAGGTATGACTAGTTGGTTTTGAACACACTTACATGTCATATCTTTCTAAACTGTTTATGAGAATATAGGTAGAATAGAAAACATAGACTTTATAATGACTTTGGCATAATAGTTTTATGCCTTTTTATTTAGTAAGACTCCGTTATTAAATTGTAAGACCCTTTAAGAGTAACTTAATCTAAAACCTTTAGATCTTCTAGGCTTAGTATTAAACCCCTTATTTTTAATACCGTTTATAACTGTGTACATTTTCTATACCTTAAAGAACAAAACCCCTTATTTTTAATACCGTTTATAACTGTGTACATTTTCTATACCTTATTCTTTGTGTTTTCTTTGGGTTTTTAAAGAACATTATGTAAAAATAAATAATTTCAAAGTTGCTGTCTTCCATGTATCTCAGTAGACCCTTAAGTATTTTCTGGGGAATATGTTCTGAGACTCTGTGATATCATTATAGTATCTGGTTTTCCTCCCTGATAGGCAATAAAGTATATATTCAACTTTAAATGACAGCTTTAAACCTTTAAGGAATTTATAGAAATGTATGATTTTGAAAAACAATCAGTTATTGCTGAAATATTTTAACATTACTTTTTTGTTGTTGCTTGTCAATACCTAGAACATGTACGTGGTCAACTCACACTTATTGTAGATCTATATAATCATAGATCTGTGTAAGCTACTATGAGTGTGACATCTTACTCTTTTTTTTTTTTTTTTAAACATTTTATTTATTTATTTGACAGACAGAGATCACAAGTAGGCAGAGAGGCAGGCAGAGAGAGAGAGAGGAGGAAGCAGGGTCCCTGCCGAGCAGAGAGCCTGATTCGAGGCTTGATCCCAAGACCCTGAGACCATGACCTGAGCCGAAGGCAGAGGCTTTAACCCACTGAGCCACCCAGGCGCCTGACATCTTACTCTTTTAACTTATTTCCAGCATCTCTTTGTTATTAATTTTCCTCTTAGATCACCATTTTCTCCCATCAGCGTCTTTAGCAGTTGATTCTTTTGGGGCCCCTTTTCCCTATAAAGAAAAAAGTTGTGTTGTTTTTTTTTTAACACTTTTATAATTTGTGATTACTCAACTACAAGAAAACACAGAAGAGCAGAGATGGTAAGTGACATTGATCTTACTCTCCGTGGTGGGTGTAATTCCAGACGCTGCCTCAGTTAAATTACAAGTTACACTATATATCTTGGACCTTTGGTATTAGTCTTGAGTTTCCGAATCCCATGATGGGAAACTCCCCTCATGTGCCAGGGTCTGTTATATAGGAAATAGCATATAAACAAGGAACGTATGCCCAATCAAGCTTACTTGAGGAAAAGCAACATGCTGTCATATAGTTGGGTGAATTCTAACAGCTGGCTTTGTTTTCTTCCATTACTTATTATAGCCGAATATTGTGCAGCTTCGCGACAGACTTCGTAAAGCACAAGGACAGCCTGTACCAGGACAGGAATCACCTAAAACTCCTTATGACAGGCAGCAGCTGCCCAAGGGCCGGCCTGGACCAGTGGCTGGCCACACACAGATGCCCAGAGTTCCGGCTCCGCAATATTACCCGCATGTGAGTGATACGGTCCTGATGAAGTAGAACATCCATGTATTTCTGTTCAAATTGGTGGTTTTAGTTTAGTGGATAAGAAACCGTAATCTGCTCTGATGAAACTAGACAACATATTATTTTAATAGTTTTTCTTTTTATATTCTTGGAAGTGGTATTTATGGTCTGTTTTTTAGGTTTTTTTTTTTTACGATTTTACTTACTTATTTGACAGAGATCACAAGCAGGCAGAGGGGCAGGCAGAGAGAGAGACAGGGGGAGAAGCAGGCTCTCCGCCGAGCAGAGAGCCCAATGTGGGGCTCAATCCCAGGACCCTAAGATCATGACCTGAGCTGAAGGCAGAAGCTTTAACGCACTGAGCCACCCAGGCACCCCTGTTTTGTTTTGTTTTGTTTTTCTAATGATCACTTTAATCTGGGCAAACAGATTATATTTTAAATATAAATTAATTTAAGCTCTCTGGGGAGATTTCTTCTTGTTTCTTATCACTCAAACTTCCCTTACACATGTACATGTGTTCTTGAAACTGCTACAGTTTGAGTCATCCAAAAAACTAAGTTAAGTAGTAGGAATAATTTTGGGGCTGATTTGGTTAATATTATAAAATATTCTTAGAAAAAGTACTCTTTTTTTGAGTATTCTATTCTAAATCATTATTATAAGTTTACTGTGTCTTCTGCATCAGCCCAATAAAGAGTATTCAGAGTACACTTTCTTTTTTTTAAAGATTTTATTTATTTATTTGAGAGAGAGAGAGCATGAGCGAACACCAGTGGGGGAAGAGAGAGGGAGAAGCAGGCTCCCTGCTGAGCCGGGAGCCTGATGCAGGGCTCAGTCCCAGAACCCCAGAATCATGGCCTGAGCTGAAGGCAGATGCTTAACTGAGCCCCCCCAGGTGCCCTTAGAGTACACTTTTGGGTGGGGGGAACAACTTGGATAGTAGAGAATGACCAAAGGTATGTGAAGTTGTAGGTCATGGGGATTACTAAGATGATTAAAGATTTTTTTTTTAACGATTTTATTTATTTATTTGAGAGAGAGAGAGAGAGCATGAGAGGGAAGAAGGTGAGAGGGAGAAGTAGACTCCCTGCGGAGCCGGGAACCTGATGTGGGACTCTATCTTGGGACTCTGGGATCACGACCTGAGCCGAAGGCAGTCACTGAACCAGCTGAGCCACCCAGGCACCCCATCTATTGTACCTTTGATTAATACATTTGATTTTAACTGTTTTATTTTTTCCTTTATTTGACAATTATTTTTTTGAGAGCTTTACTATGAGTGCCTATCTTTATTCTACCTGTTGGTATATTGGTAGACAAAACAGATTAAGTTTCCCACTCGTGGAGATTGCAGTGGTTTTAGAATGTCTGTGACATAGGTAGGACCAAGCAGGCAGTGGCTAGAAAAACTGAGAGGCAGAGAGGTCAAGTGACAAGACAAGAGTTTTAAGACTTAAAACTTGGATTTCTTAGCATTATGTGGCTAGTTAATGGCCGACCTGGTGTTGGATCCCCCAAGCGCCTTTAGTTCGGTCACACTCTCTCTCAGGGTACTGAAGTGTGACACCCTTTACACTGGGAAAAGAGAGTATTTACTCTTTATGTCATTGGGTTTATCTGTCTTTCTGCTCAGATGTAAAAACATTGGAAGACTTTGGTTATACTTTGACCTAGCAGTCTCATGCTTTAAGAAAAGAAGAACAAATTCAGTAATAAATTAAGCAGTGATTTTCTTGATTAAAGCTTATCTTACGCTGAATGAAGAGTTTTTGTGAAGGTTTATTTGACAAAAAGATTTTGATGGCTTAAAAATTTTTTTTGAAAACCTCAGGACTCTAGGGTAAGCAGCATGGTGTAGTATAGCAAACACTGGCCTGGGAATCAGGAGGCCCGATTCGGTCCTAGCAATGTCGCCAGCTAGTTGTATGGACCTCAGCAAGCCCCTTCATTTCTCAATGAAGTGTTGGCTTTCTCCGTGGTGGAAGGTGGGGATTAGACTGGATGATCTCTAATACACTCTGATTGTATGTTTCTAAACCTCATATGGGACTAATGTGATTTTTTATGGCTCTAATAAAATCCAGAAAGGGGAGCTTATAGCAATATGTTTACAGATCTAATAGTAGCATGACTATGATTAATGCTTCAAAATCACTTTTTTACTTAATTACCTTCTCCCCCCGCCAGTGTCTTCTTTCCTTACCTACTTAAAGGAACTAGCCTTTTTCCCTTATTCTTGACACTTGAATGGCATTGTTTTTATGCTTTGATTTAGGTTTTCATATTTTTCCCCCGCCTCCCTCCCCCTGTTTTTGTTGTGAATGTGTGTTTTTCTTTTAGAGTCCCTGCTACCTTGAAAGCAGTGCCTGACTAACATGTAGTGTCTTGCTGCTCTGATTTTTTGCTTCGCATCTGGCTATTAATGCCTTTTGGGTTTTTTTTTTCTTCTTTTAACATTTTTATTTTTTGTTTTCTGTGATTGGTATTTCTTTGTTCAATTCAGGTTAGAATTGCCCCTACTGCCACTACCTGGAGTAACAAAACTCCTACCGCCCTTCCCAGCCATCCACCTGCAGCCTCTCCCTCTGACACACAGGTATATCCTTCGTTATTCATCTTTGAGCAGAATTCTGCTCCCCCAAATACATATAGTGAAATATTCTCTAACCGCCCCTTCTCTTAAGTCCCCTCCCCCGTCTGTCTGATTATTGCATTTTTAATGCTTTGGGTACAAGAAGCAGTTTTAGGACAATTTGTTTATTTTCTTATCCTTCTCCTTCTTTTGTGGTCCTAAATTGACCTCAGCTAGAAAAATAGCAACTGAAGTTCTAACAGTGGTTTAAATCTGATTGCACTGAAGATTTTCTTTTTTCTTTCTTCTTTGTTTTTTGAGTGTTGCGGAAATTGAAGAGAAGCGAAAGTTCCCTTGTGGCATTTATGCTTATATTTCCAAAGTGTGAAGTAGTGGATGGCATTTAGTAGAGATGGAAAATCCTGGTGACTTATTATGAATATCACTAATACTGTTTTATGAAGTCATTAGCATCTGTCGCCATTCTTTGCATTTATTACTTTGGACCTGTTTAATCTTTAAGCCACTTAGAATGTGTTGCTAAGAGAATATGTTCTAAAGAAAATAGAATGTAAAAATGCAGTGTTTCTTACACAGTGAAGTTTTTTTTGTTTGTTTTAGAAAAATAAACACAATTCCATTTCAGAGATTATAAATCCATCTGGTAAGATTCTTGGTTCCAAATGTAATCCTCCTATGCTCGCTTCAGCAGTACATTTACTAAAATTGGAACGAGACAGAGAGGATTAGCATGGCCCCTGCGCAAGGATGACACGCAAATGTAACCCTCCTTTTTGTCATATTCTCATTCCCTAGGGAGAAAATCCTCCACCTCCAGGTTTCATAATGCATGGAAATGCCATCCCCAACGCTGCCACAGCTCAGCTTCCCACGTCTCCGGGTCATATGCACACCCAGGTACCACCGTATCCACAGCCACAGCGTAAGTAGTGCGACCCCGAAGTCCTTGTGCAGCCCTGTGTCTTATTCTAATGTTGAAAGATTCGCTTTGGAGCTCCAAACTCATCAAGTCAGTTTTAACAAACAAGGAGAGAACCATTCTCTGTAGGACGTGAGAGAGAGAAACATAGTTTCCTAGGAAGCACCCTGAGTCAGCTTGCCAGGACACGGCTGGTGTCCATCCGCTCAGCACAGTTCCCAAGCGGCTACTAAGGACAGTGAATTGTCCCATGATTTGGATATTTTTTTAAAAATGGAATTTGGAAGGATTTGGTTGCATATTCTTTTCCTTTAAGCAAGATGACACAAACCATCTTTGGAAAAATGGTTCCAAAGGACATTTGTTCTTGTTTTTCATTTGTATCATCTTTTTTAAGAAATAGACTTTTTTTTTTAAGATTTTATTTTATTTAGTTGACAGAGATCACAAGTAGGCAGAGAGGCAGGCAGAGAGAGAGAGGAGGAAGCAGGCTCCCTGCTGAGCAGAGAGCCCAATGCGGGGCTCGATCCCAGGACCCTGAGATCATGACCTGAGCCAAAGGCAAAGGCTTTAACCCGCTGAGCCACCCAGGCGCCCCAAGAAGTAGACTTTATTTTAAAGCAGTTTTAGATAGCACATTTGAGTGGAGAGTATAGAAGTTTCCAATATCCTCCCTGCCCCTATGCACAACCTCCTCCGCTATCAACAGCCCCTACCCCAGTGGTACATTTGTCATAGTTAATGAACCTACACGGACATGCCATTACCACCCAAAGTCCATAGCTTACTTGAGGGTACACTCTTGGTGTTGAACATTCTATGAATTTTGACAGATGTATAATAATGACATGTGCCCACCATTGGCTTTTGTTTTTTAGAAAACATTTGCACTTAGAAAATAGCACCACTGTTTTAAAATTTAATTGACCAAAAAAATAAAAATCTCCAGGGGGGAAATTATGGGACTAAACAACTATTACAAAAGCAAGAGACCACTGCCTAGTAAGAACTAATCCTAATAAGCCTGTTCTGTGCTAAAATGGATGTTCTTAACATGGATACAGATTTGACATGACTTTTCACTTGTGCTCTCTTCCGAATAAAGTAGGTACAGTTCTAGCAGATTCATTCCGTGGGAGTCCATACCAACCCCTGGTCATGAAGAATGTGATAGTATTCTCTAATCCGGGCTCAGATCTTTGCATCAAAATGTTAGTTGGGTGCCTGGATGCTTACTAACCAACTGCACAGTGTATGAAATACTGTATTGTAATTGCTTTGTCGGGGACCATGGAGAGTTGGCTATTAATCTGAAACTATGGCTCAAAATCACAATTTGAGTAGCTGATGATATTACCAGGTGTTGGAGAAGGTTTCTGATTCATAACAATAGTGTTCACCCTACAATTCTTGTAGTGGGAGAGATGTTGAGCCACCACCAAAGTCCCCTTATTTACTGTAGGGGGAAGTGCTTTGAACATGTAATTCCGGCATGGTTCCATCTGGGGGTGGTAGGTGTCACTGCAGTCTTTCCCCAGGGTTGGGGAAGGGTCAGTCTTAGAGTTCTTGGGTCTGATGATTCAAAGAATTTTTTTTTTTAAGATGTTGTTTACTTATTTGAGAGTGAGAGTGAGAGAGAGAAAGGATGAGTTGCGGGGGTGGGGCAGAGTAAGTGGGAGAAGCAGACTCCCCTCTGAGCAGGATGCCCAATGCTGGGCTCCATCCTAGGACCCTGAGATGACGACCTGAGCCAAAAGCAGATGCACAAGTAACTGAATGACCCAGGCGCCCCTCAAAGATTTTCATAGCCAACAGCAGTCCGGAGATGGCAGGTTTCAAATATTGGATCCAGTAACTGTTAGTATCATTTAAGGATACCCAGGGTATCAAAAGCATAACGGAGAAGTGTTAATGTATGGTTGTAGCTCATTGTTGAAAGAATAATGATGAAAATAATTTCCATAGAATGAAATAAGTTTGGGTTTTTTATTGCTATCTGAATAAACTTATAACTAATTAAAATTTCTGTTTCTTCCCATTGGTGTAGCTTATCAGCCAGCCCAGCAGTATTCCTTCGGAACAGGGGGGTCAGCAGTGTACCGGCCTCAGCAGCCTGTCGCTCCTTCTGCTTCAAATGCTTACCCTAACACCCCTTACATATCTCCCGCTTCTTCCTACTCGGGGCAGTCTCCGCTGTATGCAGCACAGCACCAGGCCTCTCCACCTGCCTCCAGCTCTGCTGCTGCTTTCCCTCCTCCCCCTTCCTCTGGAGCATCCTTCCAGCATGGCGGACCAGGAGCTCCGCCGTCCTCTTCAGCTTACGTGCTGCCTCCGGGAACAACAGGTACACTGCCTGCTGCCGGCGAGCTGCCTGCGTCGCAGAGAACAGGTCTGCGCTTGAAAGGGCTTTGGTTTGGCTCCCTCCTCTATTGTTCATGAACACGTGGGTTGGATGGAGGGGAATCATGTCTGACTCTTTGTGAGCCGAGCAGTCCGAGGTGTTGACTGAGTTTGTAGAACAAATGCTAGAGCTAGTTCTAAAAGTGTGATTGTCCCGTAATGAGCTTTAGTTGCTAAGTGAGAAGAGCTTCAGAACTTCAGAAGGGTGAGAGCATATAATTGGCCCCTGAGCTTAAAGTAAGTGGTAAGAAATTAATTGGCAAGATAAGTGGTGGTTGAAACTAGATTTAATTGACACTTATTGCTTTAGAGCAAAACTTTGTTTTGTTCTTACTGAGTTTTCAGTTTTTAAAATTATTTGTGCCTTAAACTCATTCATGGAGACTAAACAGTATAGTGTAATGAGATTGTACATAATTTTATAATGTTTATTTACAAAAATGAGCAATCTCAATATGCTTATCTAAAGGAAAAAAGTGCGAGAACACAGCTCTGACACAGAGGATGTCTGAGACAGTAGAAAGTCAGCAGACAGTAGTGTAGCAATTCCTCATTAGGACAATACCACCCTCAGACATTTGGGGAATTTCAAGGATTAGGTAGATACATAGGTAGATAGTCTAATAGTGTAGTCATGCCTAAAATTTTCTAATTAAAATCATAATTTTAAGTTATTTCTATGGTGAAATACGTGTTTTATAAGTTCTTATCTCATAATTACAGCATTACATTATTTTTTATGGGTAGGTTATATTATCTGATTTTTATTTGGTTTAGTAATAGGGGTCTTAAAATCATGTGTTATAAAAAGGGACCAATGAGTCAGGGTTAAGAACCATTAACCATACTGGTTAAGAATGCAGGCTTTGAAATTGGACTCCCTGGATATGTATCCCAGCTTCACTAACTTTCTATCATGTAGCTTGGATAAGTTACTTAAACTGCCTCAAGCCAGTGTCCTTAGAAATAATAGTACCTATTCATAAGCTTATGGAGATTATTGAATGCACTAGTACATTAAGACACTTGGGGATAGTGACTGTAAAATTTGCTGTGATTACACAGAAGCTGACTCAGAATTAGAGCTCTGTGCCTGATGGTATTTAATGGTAATTTCCCTTTTAGATTATCTAACTGATGTTTTTGAAATAGAGGGGCAAAGAGATGAATGAATCTTGCTTTGCTCCTAATACTGAAGTTGCTCCTGGGGAGTCCACTATATATATTTTTTCTTTGAAGCAGGAGCTGTAATTACTAAAAACACTTTTCATAAATAGGATCTGTTGAGGAAGTATTCTTTTCTAACAAGGTCTTATGAGTCCAGAATTATATGCCTGTCTTCTCTTTTCTCTAATATGTAAAATAAAGTCCAAAGTACCAGAAATCACTCACAGACACACAAAGTATCTGTATCACCCATTACTACACAAGTAAAATTTCTGTAATTGTTAATATAAATAGTTAAATAGGTGGATATTTTAGGAGGCTGAAATTCAGTTAGAGTCAAAAAATTACCTTCTAAAACCTCAGTAAGTAAAGACAGTATCCATTCTGATCCAGGAGTTCTATTGGAGTTCTAGAAAATCCCTGCTTAAAAGTGGTGCGGGGAAATAGGGAGGTGAGTTATCATTTATTGAGTATACATTGGATATACACCCTCATTTACCATCTGTTGTCTTATTTAATTCTCAGAGCCATGAGAAACAGAAATATATATATTTTTTTAATTGGCATGAGGAAGCTTGGTCTCCTAGGAGTTAAACTCATGGTTGCATGGTGAGAGTGAGTTGAGATACCAGTCCAGGTCCCTCAGTCTTCCAAGCCTGAGTTCATTCTTCACCAGATGGCCTAGTCCTGGCGAAAGTGATAGAAGTAGTCAGTTATCAGTGTAGGAATTACAGGAATCATATAGCAGCACTGTTTTAGGCATTTGTTACTTTAGCATCTAAGTTAAATATTTGCATGGGTATTTTTTTTCTCCTTAAGCAGAAGTGTATTTGGTCTAAGGATAGTGTTTGCTTATATATACAAAGTAACAGGATCTTCTAACCTGGCTGAGAAACAGTGACTAACAGGAAGAAGCAGGAAGCATTTCTCAGTATTCAGCATGTACCGAGCCAGCTGCTTTGTTACCCTCTTGCATGTTAATAGTCCCCTATCTTTTAACTAATAGTTATAGCTTGACCATATTTTTTTTATTTGCTAAAAATTTTATTTATGATATATAAATAATTGTGACTCTAAATTTTATCTTTTCCCTTATGTGTCTTATGATCATATCATGGTTCTCTGTAAGACTTGGAAATTGCATTTATCCAGTGGATAATTCCTGACAGACATTAGGATTTGCAAGGCCTGTAACTATTAGTGAACCACAAAACTATATGCCTGAGGCACAGAGAAACTGAAACTAACATTGCAATCATCAGAACATTCATTCAGTAAATTTTTTTTTCCAATTTATTTTTTAAATTAACATATAATGTATTATTAGCGCCAGCGGTACAGGTCTGTGAATCTCCAGGTTTGCACACTTCACAGCACTCACCATAGCACATACCCTCCCCAGTGTCCATAACACCACCATCCTCTCCCTGCCCCGCCGCCGGCAACCCTCAGTTTGCTTTGTGAAATTAAGAGTCTCTTATGGTTTGTCTCCTTCCCGATCCCACCTTGTTTCATTTATTCTTTTCTTACCCCCAAACCCCCCACGTTGCATCTCCACTTCCTCCTATCAGGGAGATCATATGATAATTGCCTTTCTCCAACTGACTTATTTCGCTAAGCGTAATACCTTCTAGTTCCATCCACGTCATCACAAACGGCAAGATTTTGTTTCTTTTGATGGCTGCATAGTATTCCATTGTGTATATATATATATATATATATATATATATATATATATATATACCACATCTTCTTTATCCATTCGTCTGTTGATGGACATCTAGGTTTGGCTGTTGTGGACATTGCTGCTATAAACATTCGGGTGCACGTGCCCCTTTGGATCACTACATTTGTATCTTTAGGGTAAATACCCAGTAGTGCAATTGCTGGGTCATAGGGTAGCTCTATTTTCAACTTTTTGAGGAACCTCCATGCTGTTTTCCAGAGTGGTTGCACCAGCTTGCATTCCCACCAATAGTGTAGGAGGGTTCCCCTTTCTCCGCATCCTCGCCAGCATCTGTCATTTCCTGACTTGTTAATTTTAGCCATTCTGACTGGTGCGAGGTGGTAACTCATTGTGGTTTTGATTTATATTTCCCTGATGCCGAGTGATGTGGAGCACTTTTTCATGTGTCTGTTGGCCATCTGGATGTCTTCTTTGCAGAAATGTCTGTTCATGTCCTCTGCCCATTTCTTGATTGGATCATTTGTTCTTTGGGTATTGAGCTTGATAAATTCTTTATAGATGTTGGACACTAGCCCTTTATCTGATATGTTGTTAGCAAATATCTTCTCCCATTCTGTCAGTTGTCTTTTGGTTTTCTTAACTGTTTCCTTTGCTGTGCAAAAGCTTTTGATCTTGATGAAATCTCAATAGTTCATTTTCGCCGTAGCTTCCCTTGCCTTTGGCAATGTTCCTAGGAAGAAGTTGCTGCAGCTGAGGTCGAAGAGGTTGCTGCCTGTGTTCTCCTCAAGGATTTTGATGGATTCCTTTCTCACATTGAGGTTCTTCATCCATTTTGAGTCCACTTTCGTGTGTGGTGTAAGGAAATGGTCCAGGTTCATTTTTCTGCACGTGGCTGTCCAATTTTCCCAGCGCCATTTGTTGAAGAGACTATCCTTTTTCCATTAGACATTCTTTCCTGCTTTGTCAAAGATTAGTTGACCATAGAGTTGAAGGTCTATTTCTGGGCTCTCTATTCTATTCCATTGATCTATGTGTCTGTTTTTGTGCCAGTACCATACTGTCTTGATGATGACAGCTTAGTAATAGAGCTTAAAGTCTGGAATTGTGATGTCACCAACTTTGGCTTTCTTTTTCAATATTTCTCTGGCTATTCGAGGTCTTTTCTGGTTCCATATAAATTTTAGGATTATTTGTTCCATTTCTTTGAAAAAAAATGGATGGGATTTTGATAGGGATTGCATTAAATGTGTAGATTGCTTTAGGTAGCATAGACATTTTCACAATATTTGTTCTTCCAATCATGAGCATGGAACTTTTTCCATTTCTTTGTGTCTTCCTCAATTTCTTTCACGAGTACTTTGTACTTTTCTGAGTATAGATTCTTTGCCTCTTTGGTTAGGTTTATTCCTAGGTGTCTTACGGTTTGGGTGCAATTGTAAATGGGATTGACTCCTTAATTTCTCTTTCTTCTGTCTTTTTGGTGTAGAGAAATGCAACTGATTTCTGTGCATTGATTTTATATCCTGACATTTTACTGAATTCCTGTACAAGTTCTAGCAGATTTGGAGTGGAGTCTTTTCGGTTTTCCACATACAGTTTCATATCATCTGCAAAGAGTGATAGTTTGACTTCTTCTTTGCCGATTTGGATGCCTTTAATTTCTTCTTGTTGTCTGATTGCTGAGGCTAGGACTTCTAGTACTATGTTGAATAGCAGTGGTGATCATAGACATCCCTGCCGTGTTCCTGACCTTAGCAGAAAAGCTTTCAGTTTTTCTCCATTGAGAATGACATTTGCGGTGGGTTTTTCATAGATGGCTTTGATGATATTGAGGTATGTACCCTCTATCCCTACACTTGGAAGAGTTTTGATCAGGAAGGGATGCTGTACTTTGTCAAATGCTTTTTCCGCATCTATTGAGAGGATCATATGGTTCTTGTTCTTTCTTTTATTAATGTGTTGTATCACATTGATTGATTTGCGGATGTTGAACCAACCTTGCAGCCCTGGAATAAATCCCACTTGGTCGTGGTGAATAATCCTTTTAATGTACTGTTGAATGCTGTTGGCTAGTATTTTGGTGAGAATTTTCGCATCTGTGTTCATCAAGGATATTGGTCTGTAATTCTCTTTTT